AGCTCTCTGAATGAATTACAATCATTCACAATAAAATGTCAAAGCAATTGACTAAATGTGCAAATCCTATTTGGAAAGCAAAATACGCCTCTTCGAGGCGTATTCACGTCGTACACATATATAAGTGTGCAATACATGCTCACATATATGTTCGATGGAATGTGATTAAGTAGCGTGGGTAATCGCAAAAAATATCAGTCTGCAAAAGCAAGTTTTATTTTTCCGGGTAAGATTGAACCGCGCAATTTATGATAATCGCTATAATCTCAAAATTTTCTACGTTGCGTAATTATAAATTTTTATTATAAAAAAAAGAAAAGATTGATCAATGTATAATATAATTGCCATTCGGCCAATCGCGCTACATAAAGCGTAACAATTTTGTGAAGATAAAGAAAACACGGATATGTATAAATTGATAATTGATTTGATATCTGTCAGAAATAGATAAAAAAGTTTTTCTTAAAGAGCTATTTATTCGGTCAATGTTTAATTTATTTAGATAAAACTAAAACATGTGTATGTTTTGTGATTACCGGTTTCACAACTGGACTGGTTTACAACGTAATCCTTTACACAACATATTATCTCGGCATTTTTTCGATATTCTCTCTTTCAATGAAGAAATTGTACACATATATGTATATATCATTTTTATTTTTTCTTATCGAAATTATCTTAGAAATATTTCGTGAACAAAACCAAGAAGTCTTCAAAAAATGATCGTCAAACACGGAAGTTTATCTGTACAATAACAGTAATTTATCTGTACAAATATTTTTAAGCTTAGTAAAAATAATTAGTATTTTGCTTGCTTAACTAAATCGAGATCCTTTAAAACTTCCAGTTTAAAATTTATTTTTAACTTTTTTAAAGTTCTTCTAAGAATATTTTCTCATAATATGCTGTTTCAATTTTCTCTATTGGCGCGTTATTTTTCTAACACAGTGCATTCAAGTTATCTATATAATCTGCCGTGTTACGAAAAAATACCAGCTTTCGTCGAGATTTACTGGGGGCTTCTTTCGAATCAGGTTGATCTTTCGTTCTGGAGCCATCGGCAATTTAAAACTTAAAGGGAGGGGCCCGACCACCTGCGCTTGGCTTCGCCTCGGAGCAAGTAACACTACCTGACCCAAACTCTGGGAAGGAGCCACCGAGTTATCTTCCAAAGATCGAACAAAGGTTCCAGATGGAACTCGCGGGCCCTATACTTAGCTTCCGTCCCTTAAACTCACATTCACACGTATATTTGTTCACGATTCCGATCTTCTGGGGTTCTGTCAGATCATTTTTCGGAGCAATTTCTCCAAAGAACCTTTCTTCAAAGAAAGAGACTTCCATATGACGCTAAAAGGAAGAGAGCTGAATTTTTGTGGAAAAAACGTTTCCTAAATATTTTCTTTCAAAGCGAAAGAAAAAAAATGGAATTACGAAGTAACCGACGCGAGAAACATAAAATACTGTTGGCGCAGATGTCAAGCATGAAGATGAATCTTTTAATTCGTGAAGACTCGATTGAATGATCGAGATGTGAAATGACATTCCAGAGAGGGAGAATCTGAAATTCCTTCGCTCGATAAACACAGATCCAATTCAAAGAAATCATCGCACACATATTAATGAATGAATATCAACGAATTCTCGTGTGCTCGCGCATACATATGTTGGCGATCGTTCATGTTGCCGGGGGAGATAAACACGAGAGACATGAATGTAATATAACTCCATTGTCCTCAAGAGATGAGAAACATCTCGAGTGATTATTGCGCAGCGTTGATTAAAACGCGTACTGTAAATTTCCCAAGAAATAAAATAACTAACAAAGAGAGAGAGAGAGAGAAAGAGATCGATTTTTACGCACACCGAGATAATATCGTCAAGCAAATATTGTCTGTCTTATCACGCTGCTTTTTCAATTTTAATTGCAATTCTAATATCGCATATAATCTATATAATTTATATATATCATCTATATAATACGACATTGTGAACTATATTCAGAATCGATCCGCGTATTTCTGACGCACAAAAATAATTTCCCGATTTTAGCATTTGCGCGTCATCGTGACGTTCCTCTACCGCATGCTAACGTACTTCTTGCTTACGTATCAGTGATAACTATTCTTCGCACACTGACATTTGAATAGTTTCCTCGTGCCAAGAAATTGTTTACGCAGAAGAGAGCATAAGAACGACGCAGCAACAGGCAAATGCCGCTCCAAGAGTTAATGCACATTTAATCTGCGCTTATTGTTAGGATGATATTTTGCCAGCTCAACTAAAGGGACGCAAAAACTGAGATACGATTTAAATAAACCTGTTCGACATCTAAACGAGCGATAACATTTTATGAATTTAAAAGTAGATATGCATTTACCAATTTTACCATATTTTATAATAATGATGTTAGTAAATATTAGATACACGTCTCTATATAAAAGTTGCAAAATTTCATATTTATGCTAACTTATTTTAATAACGTGATTATATAGAAATCTTTTAAAAATCAAGTGTTCAGTTACGTAAAGGCAAAACATTATACTAAAGTAAAAAATATCATCCTGCTTACTTATTTTACGCAATTTTAATCTGTGCTTATTCGAAAATTCCTAACTATTTTGCAAATTTCCATTTGTACTTGTGCGTACTTACGATGTTTCTTCGAACGGTTTTTTCAGTTAATAAGATATAATATTATGTCCGCTCCCTTCAGGAGCGAATAAGATTGAAAATTGAGACTGATAAAACATCTTGATCAAAAAATCGATCTTCCTATCTAAGCGAACTCAACTCTTAATAAAAACGTAAAAATGTAAATAAAAAAGCTTGATATAAAAATGTATCTCGATTGAAGATACTTAATATCATTGTGCAACATTTGTACAAATTGTTGGCTATATAAAGATTCCGAAATAAATTTTATAGATGCTAAAAAAATTAAATGTTCAAAAACTCTTCTCTTTTTTTATAGTTAATTATCTGCAAAATTATAATAAATTAGAATTAAAATTGCTTATGTTAGAATATTTTGCAACAACTGAACAGGTTTCGAAGACAGTAATATTCTCTTTCACGACAATTAATTATTTTTCCCACCAAATTTTTACAACCAAATACACTTGTAAAGAATGCGAATACAAAGAAGTTTCCTCATATGTTTAATAATCAAGAATTATATGTGACAATAATATAATATTTGACTTAAGGCAACACTATACTAATTACAATAATTTCTATTGTTAAATAATTATATATAATTATAATGCTAATAAATTTCTTCATTGGAGCAAAAGAATGGCTCTCGCAACATAAGTGTAGCTAGATGAAGCAATTTAATGATTAAAAAAAAGTGTCAAGAAAAAAAAAGATAATAAGATAATTCATATAAGAGACACTGTAATTTGACGTTATATAGTATTATCCAGTGACGTATTAGATATCTATTTTCCAAGTCAAATACTTCCTCGTATCTCATCTGACATATTGGGACAATGTTGTGCAACAATAATAATTACTCAATGCATGGCTGTAATGTGTTTAATAATAATGACTATCAATGACGCGAGATATTTTTGATTTTTTCTTCAAATGCTTTCTGATTCTGCAATTGTCAAACAAGAATTCACCGCGCATTTTCATCTCTGGTGAAAAGTTTGCACCAAATCCCAATCTATTCACGTACGTGCCAGAAGTCGCGCCGGTCTGCAAACTGTCACGGTTATCTAACGTCAGCGCTCGTAGGTGGGGCATGAACGTTGTGCAGTAACAGCGCTGCACCGGGCGCAATCGCGTCCGCTAAAATCTCTGATACCGCGAACGGAGCGCAGTTTGTATTGTTCCTCGAGCTCGTGTAGCACAGCCGCCCTTGAGTCATAAAAGCATAAAGGTACATTGTCACGAAAATGATAGAACCTTAATTATCGCTATTTTACCAATGTTCGATAGTTTGATCATTTCGCCAAGTCCAAAGACATATAAACTACGTTGTATGCGAAAACAATTTATTTTGCACTTTTAATACAGCTATAAGTAATATATAAATTGATTAAATTATTCTAATTATCTGCTTTTCAAGTATCAAAAGAAGAGTATGAAAATTTAGCGTGTAAAATCTTAATAACGACTGAAAATTTTGCCTTGTATTTTCGTTTTCTTTATTTGGACTCGTAAGAACTTTCGCTCTCTTGTACTTTTGCATTTAAGTACGAATACGACAGCTCGACAATAGCAATCGATTTCTTGGAACTTTAATATTAATTTGTCATGCTACATGGAAAATATAAAAATATTCATACTGTTATAAATTATAATACGCGTAAGAGCAATTATAATAATCAGTAATATGAATTTTTCTGATATATGTACATTTTTTATACATTATTCATTATTTGTGGTTTATCATTCAGTAACGTTTCAAAAAGTCTAACAAAGCACCGTTTGCCTCGAGAAACAAACTGGCCACCAGATGTTACTTGAGAAAGAGTGAAAGAAAGTTTCACGTTACATAAAATAGCTCAGAAATGGTGCACTTCTTATGGACCATAAATTTTAGAAACCATAGATTTTAGAAATCATTCTAAAAAAAAATATTTAATTACTCATTAAAAAACACAAATAATAGTTAATAACTCTTGTAAAATAAAGTGTTTTTAAAACTTACGAAAATTTTGAATTTTAAAATTGTCTTGAATTTTTTATAATTATTTATATTATAATAAAAAATATTTAATTTATTCCTCTATTCTGTGTATTTTGTTTCCTAACAATCATTATTATAAAATAATCAAATATATTTACTGTACGGCAACTCAATATATATGTAACTAAAGTTATTCAATTATGGTGAAGAAAAAAGTTTATTATATCAAAATCTTTAAAATTCATCTCATGCATCTCGAAACTACCGTCAAGTATTATACATTAGTAGACGTGTAAAAAAATCATGTCTTTTCATAAAATATTTTTATTATCCACTGATAAAGTTTGTTCTTTTTCAGAATAAGCCTCAACATGAAGATCTCGGCAGCTTGGCTGCTGACCTTCTTGGCGATTATTACTGTGACAAACGGCAGGACTACACCTACTGCTTCTATATCTACTTCTCCCTTTCCTACTACGGAATTGGCTCATAATGAAGCGAATACGACCACGGAATCTGTGAAATCAACGCAAAACCAATTTGTAGATATATATGCCAGACCCTTCTCGAATATGAAGGACATATTGATGCAGGAGATTCGCACTCTAGACAAAGATGTTTCCGATGACAAGGTTAGTGTTTAATCACGTGAAAAACATTGCACAATATTTTCAATTGCCTGATGAATTATAGTGATGATCAGTCTTTCATATTTCGTCACATTAAAAAAATTTAATTTCAACGAAATTTTTTTTTTTTTTACTAACGCGAGTATTAAGATCGTAAATTAAATTTACATACATACGTTGAAGAATTAAAATTGTTCTATTAAACAATATATCAAAAGTGAAATATGAAATTCAAGAATATGATTAAAGTTTTAATTTTTATCATGCTTTTTATCACAACTAAAAACGATTATACAGATTCAGGAAGAAGTGGCGGAGACCTTGAAGGCCGAAGCACAACGAGATCGTACGACTACTAAACCGAGCAAGTCAACGACTAAGAAAGTGAAATCTGCAGCGGAAGATGAAGAATTTAAGAAATTTGACGATGCGCCCTTTGATGAGCTCGACAATGAAAACGACGAAGACGACTATTACGATGAAAACGAAGATGATGACGAAGATTCCGATCTTAATGACGACGAAGAAGTCATGACGCAATGTCCTGATTATTGCAAATGTGCTGGACAGTATGCCGCTGCAATGACTGCAACGTATGTTTCGCAGCTTCTCTAATCAAATCATTATATAATGAAATAACAACGTTTGGTGTGACAGTAGATAAAGAGTTTGCTGATAAATTGTTTCCTACTCAGAGAGGAAAGAGAGAAAGAAAATATAATAAGTACTGTATTTCTTTACATCAGCATAAAAATTGCTCGGGTAATCGAATAAATACTCCATTCTTACTATATCGCGTATCATGACCATTTAAATGTCATTATTTGCGTAATTTACCCGAGAATATATAAATACGTGATAAATGAGATAATTAAAAAATTACGACGTTATGATATATATTTGAACGTCTCAGCAATTATATAATTATTCCGTCATATTACGATCTCCTTTATATTTTCTAGTTGCCGCAGAATCAATACATTATCTTATTTAGTTTCAGCTGTATATATATTAGATAATAGAATCGATGACAGTCTTTTGCCAAATTTTCACAGGATATTTTCTAGAATAATTAAATCCCAATTAATATATTAATGTCAACCGTATAATTCGACTATAAACGCATTTATAGGAGCAATAATACTCAAGCAAATAATACATAATTTTGTCGATAAATATCAATAATTTTTTGTCAAATAATTATACATTTTTTCCCGTAGATGCACGAAATTAGTGGACGAACAGGCCTTCGGACCAGGTATCGCGCATCTGCGAATCGAGAACGCCCCTGCGATTCAACTGGGACCGAACGCTCTGCGAGCTCGCGGTCTTCAGCAATTGGAATCCATCGCTATCGTCGACACCGAGATAGTCGACCTGGATCGTACCGCGTTCAACGGCCTCACGTATCTGTTTGCCGTAAATTTGACGCGCAACAATCTTCACGACATCCATCCGAATACCTTTCAAAACAATACGCAACTCAGCTTGCTCACAATCTCCGGTAACATATTGAAACACATGCACGACACGCACAATCCGAAGTCGACGAAGCACTATCTGCTGCACGCATCATCGATTACTGATTTCGATTTCTCGAACAACGGGATACTGCGGCTCAAACGCACCGCCTTTTCCAAGATGCACAGCCTCAGTTACATCAATCTGCGCGGCAATAGATTGAGGGAAATCGATAACGCGATCTTCGACTCGCTGGACTCGCTCATGGAAGTGGACTTGTCGGATAATATTCTGAATGAGCTCCCGCTCGATCTATTCATTGATAAAGAGATACAAGCTCTTCGCGTCGCTGGTAAGAAAATGGTCATTTTGCGACGTAATTTAAATTAAAAAACGCAAGACAAAACGTTATTGAATTTAATATCCCAGACACAACATCATGTCTAAAATTGGCGCATAAGACATCTTTAAGATATCTTTAAGATATCTTTAAGATGTCTTTAAGAGGGATTTTGGATATCGTATCATAAGATTATGTCTGAAATAAAAATATATTCAAACAGATTTTTATTTAATCGACTTATCGTTGATGTCGATAAATAAACTAATAAGACCGGAGATATTTCATTGTTGAGAAACTGATTAATATAGGAGAAATTACTTTCAGGAAATAATATTTCGACTTTGGCTACTATAAGTGCCTCGAAACTGACGACACTTGACGCTTCGAGGAATAAGATCAGGGTAATCGCCAAAGAGGATCTGGATGGTGTACCATTATTAGATACACTATATATCAAATCGAACAATTTGAAGAAGATTCATCAACATGCTTTTAATGATCTCGATCAATTGCGACATCTTGATATCAGCGATAATAAGCTTTCCTCATTAACGGAGCATCATTTTAAAGATAATCCAAGATTACAAGTTTTACTAATGAATGACAATCCCACTTTACAAACTTTACCAGTCTTCAAAACTTACGGCATGACGCATAACACGTTCAGGTATATAAAATATCTCAATGTACTTATTAAAATAATATAAGAAGCGACCAAATCATTTTATATCATTAATTATCGTTCTTTAACAGCGTTTTCCGTTTCGAGTGCGCTAATTGTGGCCTGAACAATCTGAAACCGAGCACGTTTGACGAAATGCCGGCGATAACTCGGCTGAACCTCGCGAGGAATCGCCTAAGCGATTTACCTTATGGATTCTTGAGACATCTTTCGTCTCTACGAGAATTGGATCTCTCTAATAATATCATCTCTACCTTGCAACCCGAAATGTTCCGCGGTGCCGAAAATTTGAACAAGTTGAACCTCGCGAATAATCCATTGACTACACTGCAAGTGACGCCATTTTTGAATACACCAGCACTCGTGAAGCTGGACGTGAGTCGTTGCAACCTCGAACGTGTTTGGAGCGAAGCTAGAGTACCACTGAAAAGTCTTCGGTGAGATTTAAAGAGAAACTTTCTTTTGTATATATAATTTTCATAACTTCTACATATAATGTAATCTTTTATAAGCTTTTCAATTTAAGAATTACTCAAAAGTTTCTCCCAATATGATAGAAACAGAAGTAAAATTGTTCGTATTTTTACGAACATGATATTAAGATATTCATTGATATATTTGATGTTTTCGTTCTGCTGCAGATTCCTGTCGGTTCGCGGTAATCTTTTACGACGAATCACTGTCGAAGAACTTAGAGCTACGCCAAAACTGTCGGGCCTGGATTTGTCTCACAATCCTCTAGATTGTGACGAGGAATTTAATCAAGCTCTGCAATGGCTCACCGATCGCGGTGTTACACCGACAGAGACACTTGGGTGAGTAAATATTCAAGTTCCGAGTGTCCAACTTACATATCATGAAGAATTCTCTCAATATCCCCTAATGCGTTTTATAGATATGCCAGTGATTTTGTTAATGTTGACGAGGACGCCGATTCGAAAGGCATCAGTCAATGGACGGATTTGGCGAAGATAGCTTGCGATGGAATCGACGCTGGTCCACCACCTAGACCAGTTCCTAGCAAAAGCACACCAAAGAATGATTTTACCGATGACTCAGAAGAATCCGATTCTCTACCCACAAACGAGCTCGATAAGAACGAGGTAAAGCAATAGCAAATATTTTTCGACGTGTTAGAAATATCCTTTATATCTATTAATTATCTTCAAATTTCAACCTCTAAAAATATTATTACGACACGATGACACAATAAACGTCAAACGCATTTGTTACAGGAGCTTCTCAAGATAAATATCGATCACGGTATACATGTCGACGACCCGCGACTCTTGGAGGATCAGGAATACGACGTGGATTATACAATCACTACAAAATATCACTCTTGGTACGACTTGAGACCCAACTTCAAAATCTGGCTAGTTTCCGGTACTGCCCTGTCTGTTCTGGTTATCTTCTTGTTGGTAGCGCGCATTGCTTGCTGTTTGGCGAACAAACGAGGACGTGGTCCTGTCCTCAGGCCACCTATGATCCTTCGTCAGGGTCTGGTTGATAATAAGAATTGCGGTTTGGTCTATAAACCACTGCAAGAAGAGATAGCTACGCCTCATATGCCGAAACGAGGTAGTTTCTACTCGAGCAGCACATTTCACTATGACAAAATCGTGCCAGAGAGTGTATAGAAAAAACTTCCTGATTAATTAAATGGTCGATTACGGATCCCGACCGTCGAAGACCACTTTATTGCGTCGCTTTCGCGAATCAAAGAAAATTCTTTAACAGACTGTTTATTGGCTGAACGACGAAGCCGATAAGGGAAGAGGAGAGAACAAATCGATCTCGTAAAAATATGCGTCAATTACAATTTTCAATTAAAATGCAATTAAAAAGACTCTTCTCTGTTTGACCACAGCTGACGATACACGTGATCTTATCGGCAAGTTTTCCATTATTTCTATTGAAAGGATATCAAAATCGAAGTAACTGCATTTAATTATTAAATTTTGTAAAAACGTTATGCAATTTACCGAAATGCATAACGTTTTTTGAGTTTTGACACGTTTTCACAAGATTACACAAGCGATTAATATATAAGTGCGTTTATTATTGTTCTTAACGTAAAAATGATGTCTGATAAACCGACATTCACAATAATTTAGATATAAACTGCAGTGCTATATCTTGCAATCAGTTCAAAACATGAATTTTTATATGTATATTAAAATTATAGCAAAGTACTTATTATTTATAGATTTTATTTAAAGCTTATAACTTTACTCATTGATTAAGCAGTGGCCGCAGGCGAATGTCGAAGTTTAATTTAAGTTTTTTTAAACAGTACTACTTGATTATAGAAAGATTTATGTAATCTAATACATAAATAATTTAATTTTGATATTAAACACACAATAATATTCATATTAAAAATGAAGTGTAGAAAATTTGAGCAAAAACGTGTCAATTTATGATTGATGATGATGAATAAATGAATAAGGAAATTACATAGGACAAATACAAAATTTTATACAAAACAAAATAAAATAGAGCTCTTTGTAAGATGTCCAATCAGAGTAATATATGCCAATACAGTACTATAAATAAGTATAATTTTCTTACGACGATTAATTAATTAAGGTGACAATATCTTATCCGGTAATAAAATTTCGTAACCTTACATACGACATATTGCAAAATGTTGTGTTGCTGCGCAAATGCTATTATATACTACTACATATATATTATATATATATACATATATATACTGTAAATAAAAAAAAATATCGTTTTAATAAAATTTTAAATAAAATCAAAGTAAAGTTTATTTTTCGCCTTAATCGAACATGCTACAAAAACGAGCATTTAAAAACAAAAAAAATGCAGATGTTAAAAAACAAGTACGATTAGGAACGAAAAACACTTCGTTAACTATGTTTTTATATGCATGATCAACATTCACTCAAGATACAAACAAGATGAAAACAAAATTTGTACAACAGCTAACATGTATATTTATAGAGATAAATCAAGTGAACTAAACAAGCTCGATTAAATCATTTGTGTCATAACAAGAACCGACGTAATAAAATTATGCAAAAAAGTAGCTGATTAAAATCAGATGAGAATTATTGACATATGGAGCAGTAGATTTATACGCAAAATAATAGAAGTTACTGATAAATTTTATAAGTAAAAATTATTTTATATATATTATAAAATAAAATAAGTAATAATATATATTTGAAACAAATATTATATATACATATAATATTATATACACATCATATCTAGTAAATATAATATGCTTTAAATATGTAATATATGTAATATATCTTTTATAACGTGAAAATAATCTCTAATCATTTGAAGCTCCAATTATATATCCAATTATATTCAATGATAATATGCAATAGAATTCCTTTCTAAAAAAGGCATTAATTATCGCTTTAAATGACTAAAACTAATTAAAAAATGGAAGAGCGGGCTTCAAAATATGAGAATACGTCTTTTAAATGGTCCTCAGTTTAATAATAAGAAAAATGACGTTTCAATACCTAACATAATAGGAGTTACATAATAGAAATACGGCAAATTAAAATTATGTGCATAATAGAAATTCAAGAATTAAAATTATGTATATAATAGAAATTCGAGAATTAAAGTTATGTACATAATTAAAATTCGGCGATTTAAAATTATGTACACTCGCGGAGAAAAAATTTGGCGCGCGCGAAGCACGCACTTGTGTTATCTATTGTAGTATATTAAAAAAATTATATTTTCAAAAAATAATATAAAGTTTGTTTAAACTTGATTAATATCTCTTGGCAGAAATCAACTGATTAAAGCATTGGCGCATAATGGCATAATTTGCTAATTAAATTTTAAAATAAAAATGTGTTATAATGAATTAAAATAATAAATTATAAATATGTTATAATATGTTATAAATATGTTATAATTATAAATATGTTATAATAAACTCGAATAACATTTGTTGACAGAAATCTGATAATTGTCATAAAATATTAATCGAAGATAAAGTATTATAACATTATTTCCAACATATATTTAACAACTATTTTAATTTTTGTAACATATTTGCTAATTTAAATTTAAATATTAATCGAGCTTTAAACAAACTTTACATATTTTTTTCAAATGTTCTTTTTAATATAAAATCGAGAAGTGGCGTATAGCGCACGCTTGTGTTGTTCTAATTACACAAAAATATGCATAATATTAAAATAGTATAAAGCTCACAAATCAGACACGGTTATTATATTGAATCTTCATATATATTTATTTAAAGAAAGAACCTCTTGATGTATTTTATATATACTATTAAAATGCGATTTTATAGAAAATTAAATCAACACGCACGATATGTTATTAAATATTTTAATTACAATAAAATATTCATGATAAAATTATCTTTTACTATTCATATTTCAATTTTAAAATATCTTTGCTTTAATTAAAACAAAATATCAAACAATATGAATAAATGGGCTACAAAAAAGTGTAATAAAAAAATTATATTATAATAATAAATTATTATATTTATATAATTATATGTATATATATATATATATATATAATTATTTATATAATTTATAATTACATATACAATCAATAATCATTAATGTATTCTTTATAAAATGAATATCAAATATGTATGAAGTGAGTATCATAAAATGTGTTGTCTTTTTTTAAACAGAAATTTTTCTAATCTGTTATGGGTAATCCATTCATTCATTTTGAGGTAACGGAACTAGGATCTACAATCTACAATCTAATTTCTATAATCTAATTTCTACAAAATCGTTACCTCGTAATAAAATAATAGTTCACTCACCAATCGTTGTGCAACAGCGGAATTGAATTACTGCATAGGAACTACGTTGATCTGTAACATACAAATAGAATTCAAATTATAGCAGCGTTCAAAATATAATTAATTATTTCTAAAAGTTACTTCAACAAATATATAATTAAATAATTTTAAAAATTTTGTAAAAACTTTTTTTAATATAAGCTTTTATATTTATATAAACTTTATATATTAAATTAATAATAACGTATAGCCAAAACGTATAGCCAGTAGATAAAATACGAAATTAAAACTATTTGTCGACCAATACTGGCAAATTATTTTGACCATGGATTTTAGACCTTATCAAGTACAGAAATACAATGTTAAAAAAGTTAGTATCATCAAACTAATACGAGAAACGAAACTACTACAAAAACATAATTACCTATGTAAAAATTCTTCAAGAGTCAGATATAAAAAATTGAAGAAGAGAGAAACACTGTAATGTCCTTCTGACAAATCAACGTCAACTAAATTTATTTAATATAATAAATGAGAGCCTAAACAACCTTTATAATCTTATCATAAACATGTATTATTCAAATTTTCTGTATCCTTCTGTAGGTTAATGTGTTGTTAAATTTTTTTAATATAAAACATTTCAGCTATTTCTCTTTTCTTTAGATATTTTTCGTTATATAATATAGACGGAGATTCCCAATTTATGGTTAAATTCTACTTTATGCTTACTGACTACAGAATGGTTAGTAGGGTGCATTTTTATGTTATTATTATGTTCCTTCATACGGATATACCTACATGTCTTTTAGTCTTATGTCTTATGACTGACGCAGTGCAGTCTTTACAATCATTAAATAAACAATAATTTGCCAGTATTGGTCGACAAATATTTTTAATTTTATATATTAAAAGTGTTTTTTTAAATTCTCTTTCGTTTAAACCATTCAATTATACAGGAATAAAATTAAAGTGCACGCGATTTATAACAAATATTATATAATTAATAAATACTTACCCCAAGGTTGGTCCGCCGATGCCCGATACCTCCTAGGCCTGCTCCTCCTCTCAGGTTGATTAAGATTGTCCATTATCAAAGTCTTTCGATTTACACACGCGATACTTTATAAATTCCCGCACTAAAACGCCCGACACTTTAGACGACACTCCCGCACTTAAGCGCGTGGCATTTTGCACGGCGAACATGTCTTTTAAATGCTTGCGTCAAAATTCAAATCAATTCAATAATAATATCAATAATAACAATAATAATATTTAATAATAATAATAAAATTCAAATAATATCAAATGAATGGATTGCAAAATATTAATATAAAATTACATTAATATAGAATAAAATTATATTATATATAACACAATTAGTAATTATAATTATATAATCATTTAAAATTTATGTGATCACACATTTACCTAATCATAATTATTTTAGTATGTTCTTTGTAAAATAAATTGAGTTAAATTTACTATGTATTATAAAATATTTTTGTCTTTTTGGGTAAATTGAAGTATTGGTTTTAATCTGTTATAATTTTTTTAATCCATTCATTTTGAGGTAACAGAACTATCTACAATCTACAGTCTACAATCTATACAACCTAGATCTACATTTTCACACTCTACAACTGTTACCTCGTAATAAAATAATAATTTTTCACTTATCAATCGATGCGCAACAGCAAAGTTGACTGTAAGCTACGTTGATTGATCATGACCATTTTTCTGTAACATATAAATAAAATAAAAATTATAGTAGCGCTCCTACCGCGTCTGGCTCAAAATAATTAATTTCTCAAACAATTATTATTATTAATAAGAATATTTGTCAGTCAGCTCTCCTATTTTTAAAAAAACTCCATCTTCATCTCGACTAAGAGCCAAACGCGATGTTATTGCGACAAATTAAGATTTAGAAATTTTTGTTATGAAATTATTATTATATTAAATTTTTTTCATGCGTACAATAATAAGAAATATAATTAAATAATTTTTGATCTAATACAATTAATAAATTTTAATTTACTAGCAACTAATAAATGAATAATAAATACTCACTTTAGAGTTGCTTTTGCTGGCGCCCGATGCCTTTCCTAGATTTCCTCCTCCTCTCAATTTGTCGGTCTCGTCGATTACGTTGATCTGTAACATATAAATAGAATAAAGATTAAAGTAGTGCTCAAGATAATTAATGTTTCAAACAATTATTGTATTACATTTTATTTTTATGCGTACAATAATAAAAAAATAATTAAATAATTTTAATTAAAATAAAATTTTAATATATCAATTAATACAAATGATACAGAAAATGATACAGAAAAATTTTAATAAAGTATTATTTACAACATTATTATTTTAATATTTTTAATATATTATTTTAAAATTTAGTTAGCATATTATTAAGTTAGAATATTCTTTATTAATATTTTTTGACAGAAATCAGCTGATAAGTGTCAAAAATATTAATCGAGTTAAGCAAGCTTTACATTATTTTTTAAAAATATTCTTTTTAATATAAAATCGAGAAATGGTACGCGTATAACGTGCGCGTTTATGTTGTTATTATAGTGTTAAAAAAAGGTCAAATAAACCTGCAGAAATTGAAGAAAATTAATTGCAAAATTATGTGCAGAATACTACACCTGAAATTTAAAGTTCCAATTTCAAAAAGTAAAATTTCAGAAATTGTTTCTTATAAATTCGATAAACAGTATAGGAAGCGTAAGAAAATGCATGATAAAATTCTATCGGTACAGCCCTGCATATGAATACGAATACGTAAAATGACCTCATCACAAGCTTAAGTAGTAAATATGCTGTAGTAAGTAGAGGGGGAATTTGAACTGTGGTCGTGGCACCAAGGTAACGCTGAGATGGAGTGAAGCACGAGAGATCGTAGAGAACGTTGCTTCGTAATATTTCTGATCGGAAAACTTGTTATAATTTTCTCCAACCGGCATTTGCGATTTTATTTTTATTTGTATTGTGTATAAAATGCTGCCGAGACGACGTGTCATTGATCTTCTGCAAGTCATCTCAACTCAATCGTAAGTAAACCAAATGTTTATTGGAAATTTTATATAAAAAAATAAAAGTAGCAATAATATGTGTCTCAAATGACACGTAAAGTATTTTCATTGTACGCAATGTAGACTAGTGTATAATAATGATAAATTTAATCGAAAGGTACACTATATCTTATCTAATAGCATCAATATGGATGACCATAAATAAACGCGATAAGTAAGACAGTCATAAATACGATAATTGGAATAATATCCAAATTTATATTTTGTCAAAATTATAAAAATAATTCATATTAACTTTTTAAAGATATTACATATATAATTGTTAATAAATAAAGTAGAATATTATGATATTAAATGGCCATCTGTCTAAGGAATCTACGCGTAATATTCAATAAAGCACAATATAAAAGGTCAATAGTAATGCTTAGAAACGAAGAACAGCAATTTATTTGACGGTAAACATGAAACACATACAAATTTTAGATGCAATTATTCTGACTTATATTTTTTAGATGCAGATGTCCAGCACACGGAAATCCAGGAGCTAGCAGCGTAAGAAATCACGAAAAAACACGAAGTACTGCGACAAATGTTACGCCCGACAAGGAGTATGCATTTGAGGTAAATTAGAAAAGTTTGTATAAAGATCATAAAGCCATTAATCATTAGATATGATAATTTGTTGACTGCATCGCAGATTGTGAAATCAGAAATGTGTGTTGTATTCAGATAAGAATTATTTTTGAAAATATACTGTATTTGCTGATTTGCATGTTTTCGAATGAAATAATCTGAATATCGCATCAACCTGTTATCAGATGCAATGTAATTGCTCTAATAAAACTACTTTAAAATTTTATTTATTATACAAAATAATACGGCAAGAACAAGTAAGTTTAAGTTAACACAAAAATTTATGAAATATTTGAAAAATACTTGAAAAAATATTTTCTTCAATGGCTTATATTTCTTCCTTATAAAATATTCAAGATATATAATATAATAATAACTATTTTAGTTAATATAAGTATATGTTAATTATTTATACAATTTAAAAATTATGTACAATTTTAGATGGCTTGTTCTACCATAAGATATGGAGTAGGAGTAACGAGAGAAGTAGGAATGGACATACAAAATTTAGGAGCGAAGAGAACATGTCTAATGACTGATCCTAATTTGGTGACTTTAGCTCCTGTAAAAACTGCTATTGATAGTCTTGCCAAGTATGGTATTCAATTCGAGATTTATGATAAAGTACGCGTGGAACCAACAGAACAAAGCTTACAAGATGCGATCAAGTTTGCCAAGTGTGGAAATTTCGACGCTTTTATAGCGGTACATATACAAAAACTTGCGTCAAAATTCAATTTCATTGATAAATCTTGATAAATTAAATTTGGTTCATAGTTTTTTTTTTTTCATATCGCTGACATGATAGCATCAGAAAAATAAAGTTTTATTGTCATCAAAAATAATTAAATTAAATATTTCAAATAATTTTATTTAAATATGTTGTATAAAAACTGCACACAAAAGTTCTTTTTCATAATTTTTAGAATCTATATAAAATTAAGCACAATTTACATAAAAAATCCTTATTTAAGATTTATGATAGATAAAAATAAAATAAAATAAATTAGGTAATCCTGTACGTAAAATAAGTTCGTAAATTATTAAATTAAAAGTGTCACAGGTTGGCGGTGGTTCCGTGATGGATACCTGCAAAGCGGCAAATTTATATAGTTGCGATCCAGACGCCGAATTCTTAGATTATGTAAACGCGCCGATCGGGAAAGGGAAACCTATTCAGGTACCTCTGAAACCGCTTATCGCCATTCCGACAACCTCTGGTACCGGTTCTGAGACAACTGGAGTATCTATTTTTGATTATAGACCGCTAAAGGCGAAAACGGGAATTGCGAACAGGTAAGAATTATCGCGTATCATTGAAAATGATACAGAAAAATGAATTTATTAATAATTTTATCGCAGAGCCCTACGTCCAACATTGGGAATCATCGATCCCCAACACACCTTGACTCTACCAGAGAGAGTGTGCGCGTATTCCGGTTTTGATGTGCTCTGTCACGCTTTAGAATCTTTCACGGCAATACCCTATACAGAAAGGACACCGTGCCCATCAAATCCGATTCTGAGACCAGCCTATCAAGGTAGCAATCCTATCAGCGATGTCTGGGCGCGTTATGCTCTACAAATTATGCGCAAGTAATGAATCAATTAATTGTTTATGCAAAACGTTTTAAATTCTGCGTATTTTCTTTGAATTGTGGAGATTTGAAATAAAATTATAATATAAAATTGATATTTATGAAAACAATGAAATCAAATGTTCATTCTTTATCAAACTAGAAAAATATAACAATTACAAATATTTCAAAATTAATATTAAATAATATAAAATCGTATCTTTTCATATAAATAACAAAACTTAATCTTTTTAGTTTTTTAATCAATTTTAGTTTGCCTAAATTTAATTTATAGAAATTAAAAATATTTTAATTTGCGAGTTTTTATGCGAAAAAAATAATTGACTTTATAAATACGCTTCAAAAATACATATTTTTCAAAACACATGTTTTCTAAAAAAATAGATTGATAAACGACACATATCAATAAAAATTAATTTCTTGCACAGATACTTTGAGCGAGCGGTTTATAATTCAAACGATTTGGAAGCAAGAAGTAATATGCTCTTAGCGAGCACAATGGCAGGCGTTGGTTTTGGAAACGCTGGTGTTCATCTTTGTCATGGACTTTCATATCCCATTAGCGGAAACGTTCGAAATTTTCAGCCAAAGGTAATAAATTTAAATTTGTATTCTTATAAAATTATTTTTATATTTTCTATTATATTAAACGTAAAATTTTTCAATATTTCTCCGACTTAAATGTATTCACTGCTACTTTATTTAAGGACTATAGCAACGATCATCCTATAATTCCTCACGGCTTATCTGTAGTGATTTCCGCGCCAGCCGTCTTTTCCTTTACCGGAAGCGCGTGCCCAGAAAGGCATTTGGAAGCTGCAGAATTACTCGGCGTAAATGTTAAAAATGCCAAACGGGCTGACGCCGGAAAAATTCTGGCCGACACGGTAAAAGAATATATGAGCGTTATGAAAATTGAAAACGGCTTGACGGAGCTCGGTCTCAAGAAAGAAGACATCCCTACTCTAGTTCAAGGAACATTGCCTCAGGTAATGTATTCAACGATATTATATTTTAATATTTTAATATTTTTTTAATATATTTTATCAAACAAAAAAATAGAACAAGTATATGTGATAATCGATGTTGTACAATCGAAAATGTACACTAAATTTATTTTTCTTTTTTCAGCATCGCATCACAAAATTAGCACCTCGAGAACAATCAGAAGAAGACCTCACGCAATTATTTGAAAATTCATTTACCATCTATTGATAAAATTTATATATGTTATAATTACTACAATTACTTAATGTTTAATTGTACATATTATCAGAAAATTGTAATTAATAAAGATTCTATTTGTTATACCAAGAAAACTAAGATTTGTCAGAAAGTGCATTGATTTTACTTATTGTTAATTTAATAATTTAATAATTTTTAATAATTCTATTTAATAAATATTATATATATTATGGCAATAGTTATAAGATATTAAATAATGTACTGTTAATTTAGTAATGCAAAATTATCAGTTAATTATTATCTTTCTATATAACGATAAATTATTTAATTTAGTTATAGCTTTTAGTTTTTTAAAGAAACTACAATACTATAATTATAATAATTTGGATAGCAACTGATTCATTTAACTTTAATAAAATAACGGACTTTAATTAACTTTGTCTATTGAAACATGTAAAATTTCTAACAAAGTTAGTCCATCTCATACGTGCAATATTTATAGTGGGCTAAACTAGAGTAAAATGCAATAATTTTTATACAAATAATTTTATGCAAACCTTTTTCTATCCCATAATTAAATTTATAACATATATTAAACAAAACTGTAACGCGTATATACAACTTCTCTCGTAGTTTTGTAATCAGTTTCGCACTATTCATCATTTGAGAGACAATGTCATTCAAAATTCTTAAATCGTTTTTTTCTGAAGAAGAAATAAAAAAGTTAAATATTAGTTAAAATAACAATCTCACACATCAATCATGGATATAAGAGTAGGAATTAATGGATTTGGAAGAATAGGCAGAATGTGTCTTCGTGTTTGCTTGGAAAAGGGAATTAATGTAAATGTCCGATTAATGAGCAATATAAATATATCACTGATTGACAAAAAGTAGATAAACAATACATTGATAAATATCACAGGTAAAATTAATCAACGATCCATTCCTTACGACCGCACATATGCTATATCTTTTTAAATTCGATTCTACTCACGGAACGTATCCTCTACCTTTAAGTGTAGACGGGAATAAAATAATTGTTCAAACGGGTAAATATAATCATATAATTTTCATCGTTTGAAAATTTATTCTGCTCTACAAATCATATTTTCAAAATAATGTAAATTTTGACAAATTTAATAATCTATAAAGTTAAAATAAAAATTAATTATATATAATAATTGATGAAAAAAATTTTCCACGGTAACAAAAATTTCAGTTTCTAGACTCTCAAAAACGTTCTAATTTCTTATTTTATCTAAAATTTAAAAATATTTGATGTGATAAAAATCATAAATGTATTTATTACTGGATATTCAAGAGAGAGCAGAAGAGATAAAAATTCTCACATCGCAAGTAAAGCGCCCATGCGACATACAATGGAACGAAAATGAAGTAACATATGTCATAGAAGCTAGTGGAGTATTTACAACTTCCGAAAAGGCAGGAGTGAGACAAACGTTCTAAATTAATATTTTTCTTTGTACTCACTTTATAATCGCACGAGAACAAGTTGATAGATAAAACTTCTAGACTATCCTCCAAAATTCTGCAAAAAGAAAATAAAATTATTTTTATCAAGTTACCAGATTTACATTAATATTGTGAATACATTAAACTTAAACAGATCTATTCAAACTCTTGCAAATCTTTAAGACATATAATATTGGATTATATATATATATATATATATAAAATTAAACAATCATATAGTAGGCCAACTAAACGAGCAAATAAATAAGATGTAAAAATTTTTATTAATAGTTAAATCATTAAATTAACATTCCGTTACAGAATCGATATAAATTGTAAACGTTTCGACTGCACTACAGTCTTTATCAATACATAAAATTAAATATTAAAATATAAAGTTAGATGTTAAAAATACAAAGTTAGTTAAATATTAAAATATAAAATTGAAACGATTCTTCGCTGTTGACCAATAGATATGCAAGGCGATTGGTCTGAGATGCCAAGTTATGCGACATTTGAGCATGATTATCGTTTTAACAAGTCTTTTCCCCGATATTTAGTGTGTTGCGAAGTCTGAATATATATATATATATATATATATATAAAGAATTATATTGTATAATTATATTTTAAAAATTTGTAATCCTAATACTACATGATATCTTTTACAGTTACATTTAGATGACAAAAAGACCAAGTTGCGCGGCGCGAAAAAGTTATTATTACCGCTCCGGCAAAGAGTGTACCGATGCTTGTTTACGGAGTCAATCATACGACTTATAATCCTAATAAGGACGAAATCGTCTCTGCTGGATCCTGCGACATAAACTGTACCGCTCCAATGGTCAAAATTATACACGACAAGTTCAAAGTTCTCGAAGGAATGATAACAATTATACACGCGATAACAGCAATCCAAAGGACCGTGGATGGTCCGATGGAGCAGGTTCACAATCTAATATAAAGCTTTAATGCTGATAATATGTTTTGATCATTTAATTGTGTATAATACTTATCATACAGTATCACATTTCTGAGTTTCTATCTTTAATAATTTTTCATTTATTCTTAGAGACAATAATTTATTTATCTTATAATTTATTTATCTCATAATTCATTTAGCTTGATTAAATTAAGAGAAATAAATAATTATATTATCGACGCTTTACATTTGATTTCGTACAATTTTATTTTTGCTACAGTGTCGGACTACTTTATTGTGGAGGGACGGCAGAGGAGCTCTTCAAAATATCATTCCGACTGCCACCGGCATCACTAAATCATTAGATAAAATTTTTCCCGAACTCAAAGATAAGATCTCAACCATAGCGTTCAGAGTACCGATCTCTAACGTTTCACTATGTGATATGACATTCAGGTAACATTATATACCACAAATTTCTCGAACAATTGACGCATAAAATTTGACAATGGCATAAGTTTGAACATTACATTAATATAAAAATTCGTTTGAAACAACAATGTATGATTTCTTTCATAATTTATATCAACATTATTTATGTATAATATTTTTATATTTAATTATTTAAAAAAGTATTTTAAAAATTATTTGTTGAAATAAATAATGATGATATTAGTATAATAGTTCAAAATTTTGTATTAAATTTGAAATTAGGAGATTTAGAAGAAGTATATTTAAAGAATTAGAAGCAAAAAAATTAATTTATAAAAATTTAATTCACCTATTTAACAGAAACATGATCTTTTGATTTAGATAATTTAAAATTAGTTTTGCTCGCAGTGATTAAAAATTAAATAGCCGCAGTATATTGACTATGCAAAGGTAGCATAATCAATTGTTTTTTAAATGAAAACTAGAATGAAGAAATTGATGAATTTAAAATTGATTCAAATATATTTAAATAGGGTTATGAGACAAGAAGACCCTATTAAATTTTATATACATTTTGACGTTAATTAAAAAACATACATTTAATAAGATTCAATCATATTTGACACTAAAAATGCGAGACATGAGTCGATATTCTTATGCTTGAAAACCGTTTCCGATTTTTTTCTTCAGAATTGATAAATCGGCAAAATATGATGAAGTAAAAACGTGATAATAGAAGCAGCCAACGGAGATCTGAAAAACGTGTTGGGATACACGGAAGATGATTGTGTGTCGTCGGATTTTAATCACAGTATCTATTCTTGCGTATTCGACGGCCGTGCAAGCATTATTCCACAGACCAGTACTTTCATCAAGATCGTCGCCTGGTAATAATATATTACTGATATCGTTATAAAAAAATTTTCTCCCAAAATTCATAAATTATATAAAATATTTAATTTTAAATATTCAAAATCTATGCACAATTTATGTTTGATATCGGGGGTTTAATTTCTCCTCGATTAGAGAAATGGTATTTTTCGCGAGCGCAATTAATTTTTTTGTATAATTATTATTATATCTTAAGAAAGTTTTATTCATATTATAGAGTATCAAAATTACGATAATTTTATATCTTATTCTTCTTCATATCTACCTCGTATAAATCTCTAATCTTTTTATTATATAAATATTAACCGAAAATTCATTTTTACAATTCGTTGAATTACTCTATCATGAAATAATGTTTTTAATAATATTTTCTTCAAATTTGAAACATAAATATACATATATAAATAAAATAATATTATATAATTACAATATACATCAAGTTTCCATCTTTTTATAGGTATGACAATGAATATGGTTACGCAAATCGTGTAATCGATCTGCTTAACTATATGTACAACGTCGATCGGGGTATTATTCCTCCTGGACCTGAACCTGAAGGAGCTTACGGAGGAACTTAAAGCTTTATTTATGCATAAAAATTCAAACATTCACTTTACTTATGGATACACACGCAATCACATGCTTCCTTTACGTAACTAAAATAGAGTAAATATTTTCGCTGATATTTATCGAAGATGTCAATGTACGAGTAGAAATTGAAAAATTAAAATATTTTGTATGTGTGAAGTCAAAGGATTTGTCTCTGTATATAAAAGGTTATAAATACGATTTTCGTATTGCAACTATATACATATATATGTTGTATATCGCATACATATCTTGTATAGATTACTGATATGTGTCTGACATTTTACAAGCAATTACCTCAAAGTATGAAGGGATTTTCAAAACAAAAGAAAGAGAGAACTTCTGTACTTTTTGGTACTTTTGTCCTTATACCTTCCGCCATGCACCCTCGTTGCTCTGTTATTCGCGCGATCCGTGAAATAAACACGATAATAAACACACCGAATATATATCACACTCCGATGCTTTCAAAGGATTATATTTATATCAAAACACTGACTCGACTCGTCAAATAGACCTGAGAAAAACGATAAAGAATCAAACACTTCAACCGACACCGGCGTCTGTCAAACTTCGCGGCGCGTCACAAGTCGATAATCGGGTCACGTGACCCGCTAGACGCCCGCGTCGGCGGTCATGTGACACGAGAGCGGTCACGTGGCGTCGAACGTCGACGAGGACGCACGAGACGTCGTCAATTACACGCCAGCGCAGGACGGGTGTGGTTTATATTAGCGATCCGTGCCCTTCAAATGACACTACTTCGTTAGTAGCCGCGCCGGACAGAACTGATTTTTCTTAAGCAAGGTAAGTATTAGCCTATCGCCTTTACGCTGTCTCTTAATTTTATGTTCCCGACTGAGATACGCGGTGAATCAACGTCGCCGGTCGCTCGTTCGCGTTCCGTTACATGGTTTTATTAACTATCAAACGTACGTACGTACCGTACAAATATAGCGTCTCCCATTTTCGCGACGTATGCCGCACCGGCCATTCTCGTGACGTCGAATGGACGAGTATCCCGTCGTAACTATGCGAGAAATGATCATGCAGTTACTTGCATTCCTGCGGGAGAACTTTCGAGAAACGCGACATATCGCGATGATGTAACGATATCTTTTATACCGGTCACGACAATTACGTAAAATGAACGTTAAATTATCCTTCCACGATCAATATTATTACTCAATTATATGCCTATTAATAGGGCCGATGTTTCGCGTACTGTACCACAAGTCCTTGTCGATTGCATATTGTTAGTCATTTAAAATATAATTTGCATGTCAAAATTATTATTGTATTACATACATTGTGCATCACTTAATATAATTCTTTCACAATTTTCATTAAAGATTTTATGCCATTAAATATAAAAATTCATTATAGATATAACATTAGTAATAATATTTTTATTAAATATCGTACGACACAATAATTTACAATTAGTTAATCTCTACTTAACTCTGCTATTCTCTTTATTTTATCTATTTGCATATATGTGTATTTATATTTCAAATATTTGAAGAAAATATTAAAAACATTATTTCATGATAGAATAATTAAACAAATTGTGAAAAATGAATTTTCGGCTAATATTTATAATAGATTAGATTTATGTACGAACTATATGAATAAATATAAAATTATCGTAATTTTGATACTATATAATATGAATAAAATATAATAATAATTATACAAAAAAAAAGATTAATTGTGCTCACGAAAAATTTTATTGTATTATGTTGTAATATTAATGTAAAAATTATTTGTATAATCTTTCACTCGTCCATATATTTGACGAGGTCGTAAAAAGGTCCGAATAATCTTTGATGCAAATTATAAGTATCAGATGAAATCACGAGATCATGCGTCTAATTATCGAATGATTTGCCAGCATCACGATTCATATTTTATCAAATACTGTCTGATAATTTCATGCCAAGTCATAAGTTTCAATGTCGAGATGTCTGTCGAGCTGTTTAAAAAACTTAGACACACACCCCTTTTAACCTTGCTTGACCTCCAAGATTTGCTTGTCCAATCCGACGTTACATTTCCGAACATTGTGCCAAGATATTTGCTGTCACAGCTGCTTTCATAGTCAAGTCGTTAAGACAAGATTAAATACCGAACTTTATATTGAAAATTACGTAAGCAGTTATGAATCAATCTTTTCGATATAGTTATATACATTTTATCAATCGTATTTTTAAGACGCAAATATTGGAAAGATTTTTAATTTATCTGTTTGATATATATTTATTTATTTATTTATTTATTTAATTTAAAATAATAATAATATATATATATATTAATAAAATAATAAAATGTATATTTTGTGAGTGCAAGTTATATCGTGAGAAATTTGCTTTAAAAATAATCGTTACTTAATAAAACAAAATCTAATCTATCTATAAGCACAGTGATACATTAATTAATTAATAATTTTTAAATCATATGAGATACAATTAACATCATCGATATCAATTTTAATTTACGCGATATTTATCAATATCCTTGAAATACAAAGCGCAATTAGAATCTCGAGAATAGCGAAGAAATGAATGATCCATCATAAATCGCACATTTTAAGCCTAACCTACATTAATAACGAGACTCGTTACGATGAGATTAATTTTCTCACATCTGATTCACGTGACCATACCGGCGTCACTGACTGCAATCGCGCAGAAAATACATGGGCGTCATGCAACACTTTATAATGTTCTCATTCATCGATTTTCCAGTTGCAATCAAGAAGACGACATGAGCAAAATCGGAATTAATGGATTTGGCCGTATCGGCCGTCTCGTGCTTAGGGCTTCCTTGGAACGCGGTGGCCAGGTACGTTGAGCAACTGATCAATTTGCGAATCGCACCGAATCGCTGTCATTTTTTACTGATCGAAATCCTTTTCAACCAGGTCGTCGCCATCAACGATCCTTTCATCGGTCTCGATTACATGGTCTACATGTTCAAATATGACTCCACCCACGGCAAGTTCAAGGGAGAGGTCAAGGCCGAGGGTAACTGCCTCGTTGTCAATGGAAATAAGATTGCAGTCTTCAGCGAGCGCGAGCCCAAGGCGATTCCTTGGGCGAAGGCTGGCGCCGAGTACGTCGTCGAATCCACCGGCGTGTTCACGACCATCGAGAAAGCATCTGTATGTCCTAAGAACGAGATTAACATTGCAATTTATTAATTCTTGAATATTTTCGAGTTCAACGTCTCTTGGCGTATTTACAGGCTCACTTGGAAGGCGGTGCCAAGAAGGTCATCATCTCCGCTCCATCTGCTGATGCACCAATGTACGTAGTCGGTGTAAACTTGGAAGCTTACGATCCGAGCCAGAAAGTAGTCTCCAACGCCTCCTGCACCACCAACTGCTTGGCACCTCTCGCCAAGGTGGTTCATGACAACTTCGAGATTGTCGAGGGTCTCATGACAACCGTACATGCGATTACGGCCACTCAGAAAACCGTCGATGGACCTTCTGGCAAGGTGCACATGACACATAGTCATATAGCAAAAATATCATTTAAGATTAACATCGTGTCATTATATAACATTGTTTACTATGCTTTTTTTGATGACAGCTGTGGCGTGATGGTCGTGGCGCGGCGCAAAATATTATTCCCGCTGCAACTGGCGCTGCTAAAGCAGTCGGCAAGGTTATTCCGGCTCTCAATGGAAAACTCACCGGCATGGCTTTCCGCGTACCCGTACACAATGTGTCCGTAGTCGACTTGACGGTTCGACTTGCCAAGCCTGCGACATACGAAGCTATCAAGGCCAAAGTAAAGGAAGCTTCCGAGGGTCCTCTGAAGGGTATTTTGGGTTACACCGAGGACGACGTTGTCTCATCCGATTTCATCGGCGACAACCACTCCAGCATCTTCGACGCTAAGGCTGGTATACCTCTCAACGACAATTTTGTAAAGCTGATCTCGTGGTATGACAATGAGTTCGGTTATTCCAGTCGAGTCATCGACTTGATCAAGTTCATGCAGAGCAAGGACAACTAAACAGTTCCCGTAACTAAACAGTTTCTCGATTATTCATCCGCGTCCTTATAGCTCCGATCTCGCCGTATAGCGAATTAATCAACCGCTATACGGTGCATATCATTGTAAAAAAAGCTGTTAAAAAAGCTGTAAAAAAACACCGTGTTTAATCAGCGTCATTACTAACTCGTAGCAGAGATGTACACGGAATAAAGCAAGACGTGTAGCATACATTCTTTCTCGCACAGTTAATAGAGTTGTAGATAAAGCGGTGTATTCATCATTTTAATTGGAATATAAAACAAGACAGGTTCTAGCATGTATTGTATTTGAAAATCTATATTTATCTGGTTACACTGTATCAGAGTTGTTTCAGCGAATCGTAAATAAAAATGTGAATATTGTCACATAAATATAATATAACAGTACCTATAATCGCGAAATTTATGCTGCGTAAAATCGAGGCGCAATAAAAGTAGAGAGAAATGTATGACAATAGAAATTAAAGTTAAATTTCCTTCTACTCACAATAAACTCGAATGATTTTATTTCTCAGAAAATGAAGAATAGTTTTGTCACAATATATTTTTGTCATGAGTACGGAGATTTTACTATACTTGTATCCTACCGTGGTAGAATTACAAGCATATATACTCGCCTTTTATCACTCGTTCATTCGTACACTGGAGATACATATATAAGTACTTGTGATTTTCTTCTGTACGATTAACATTATTTTTCATTCATACAATGACATCAATAAAAATTATTATGAAACTAAAGTAGTTCCTTTATTCATATTTGACAGACACTTTTATATATATGTATAATCTACATATTTTTTTACAAGATCGCAGACGGATAATAGTCGAAGATAATTCTAATATAAGCATTCACCTTATACAATTTTTTTACACAGTATCTAAACAATTACAAAAGATTTATTTTGTCCCAAGATTTATTGTTAAGATTTTATCTCTCTAAATAGTTCCGTGATTTGTATTCAACAAGACAATACTGTCGATCTCAGCATTAATGATAGTAAATACAAACTTTAAAATTTCGCGTTAATATGGCACAAGGAGTTATTGGTTTAATTTACAACGATCACTTGGCAAATTTATTTATTTGCTATTTGTATAGTAAACAGAATTGAAAATATTTATAACCGCGTAACCAAAATCTCTTGTACGTTATAATCACGGATTAATATATAGATTTGATATGGAGAAATGACTATTTGAGAGAATGGACTACGCCACATAAAGGCTAAATTTTCGAAAAGAATTGATTTAATTTATTACGCTCACGTGTTCATTCTGAGGCAATCGCTATACTATTAAAAATATCTATATGAATAGCTACAGAAAACAGATTATTGTATTGATTTTGTGGCTCTAATAGAGATCTATATTCTTCTCATGCTTCGAATAGTCTGTATTAACTATAGCGCAAATTCCTTTAATCTACATAATCTACAATATAATAGAAATCGATATAATCATTTCAATGAATTCATACACTAAACTTGACGCAAATTGATTCTGAACATCATATATATATATATATGTATAAATGTTTATTTCCGAAATATTCTGTTCCTGCAGATTTCACATTTTTTTCTCATATATCTTTTTAACATTTAATAGATATTTTATATAGATTATACTTGTTATCACGCGAAGCAAAATAACAGTCCTGATTATTTTGTTCCTTAGTTGACATTTATCTTTTTTATGTGAATATTTTTTATATAGTTATATGAAAATATACGCACTCGAAAATGCGTATTTGGGCATGTAAACCAGTAAATCTTTTGAAAAAATGAATATGATGGAAAAAAAAATTAGATATGAAAAATTGTGTGACTTTGATTAAAAAATCGGTGCAAATTTTTTTTGGCAAACTCGGTAATTTTGGTAATTTACATTTTACTGGATAGTACCTACTTATAAAGATTACAAGAGATTACGCTTACATACGCAAAAACATATGTAAGAAAGAGATTGAGAACAAGGTAACATGATAAAAAGCAAATAAATAAAACTTCACGCATCGTTAAATACTATTTTGTGAGCAATACTCTCGTAGCAAAACACAATATCTCATTCTGCAAGGAAAGCAGAAGATTTTGTCACAATATGCACACACAATGCGCGTCGCAATCTCATTAAATATTCATATTGTAAAAAAAACTTCATATTGAATAACGTTAAAAGGAAAACGTTTACTTGAGTATTCAAATGTGGAAAGACAAGGTGACAAAAATCACATACTACCATACTCAAGAATTTTATACGCGCATACACACATCCCAATCGCAAATATCAAAAATAAATTATGAAAAAGTACTTTCATATTAGAACATTACATTATAAGTTCCTTTCCATTTTGTATATAACTGAGGAATTTTAAGAGAATTTTTGAGAGACTTAGCCGCCATTGTGTGATAAAAGCAAGTGATCAAGAGATAAAAATTAATTCTGTAAGGAACGAAATTTTTTTTATGAATTTTTATCTTTCTTAATCTGGACAGAAGATTTTTTACTTATTATAACAATAAAATGAATTTTATATGTTTTGGTTTTTTGTTATGACAACGTAATAATTTTCACTTAAAATTCCTTAATTCATGTATAGTCAGGAACCAAACCCGAATTTGCCGAATGATTAATATTCGTCATATTAATAAATCTTGAGCTACCTACACAGCATTTTAATTTCTCATATTATTATAATAAGTTATATGTTACCAAAAACGACGAGTAAAGCATCGTTTAGCAAAAGACTTCCAATGTGTATAACAAGTATTTTAACGATATTTCCTAAATATTACTATACGAATTTGATTATTTCGATAAACTTTCACAGTTAGAACGCGAGATATCTGAAGCATATTTTCATTTTCTGCATATAAATATAATATAGAAGGAAAAGAAATCATAGAATATCTCATGCATTTAGATATATGATTACTCGTCGAATGTGATTTCTTAGATTGTCAAGTTGTTTCACGTTATTATTGATAGCATTTTGATGAAAGCAGATAATCAATGTAACTAACGTGTTTCAGGATAATTCTGAAGCGAGAAGCAAATACTAAAATAACATTGATGACAATAATATACATTAATTCTTTCTCATCTTAGAAAAAAAAAACTATAAGAAAATCAAAACCAATCGGTTAATACTGATACTATAAAAAAATGTTATAAAAATTGGCTACAAGTCCCTTTCGGATTGTCAGGCTCGGTAACATGTACTGTCTCTCCCCTTCTTTCGTCAACCTTGGAAATATATATATAAATATATGACGACGAAAAAGGAAGTCATGTGAAATATAACACACACACATACACACAAGTGTCGATAAATCACAGAGGAATTTGATAATATAAGCTTCAAGCTTTAGCGAATTTCTTAACACTTTTTCTTGCATATAAACGTGAACAATAGCTCATCAACTTGACAAAAACAAATTCATAAATCTCAATATAATAGAGATCATTTATGTGATAATCAGAGTTTTGTATATACACAATTTATAATTTATATCATATTCTTCTTTCATTCTCAAGTAAAATACCTATAAATAATCTTTTTTGTGACTTTCCCTTGTTGTATTTGCCCTTACATTGACTGTGACATTACTGTGTAAAACTTACAAAAAAGTTACATCTCACTGATTACTTTTTATATACATTATAATGAATAGAATCTTTTGAATCATATGCACGATTCAAAATACACATGATTCAAGATTCTATTTATTATATATGAAAATCAAAATAATTCGTGTAACTTTTTCGCAAGCTTCATCGATTATTATGAATATGAATTATTATGAATACATCGTTGAGAAAGGAAGAATTTTAGACTAGCATAACATATTAAATACAGGTATACAATGAATGAGGATGCATATACCTCATGTGGCTTTGATCGAATGAATGATAGCGAATAATAATCACATCAAGTCAAGAGCAGGAGTTTAGCACGCAGATTTATACGTTCTTGAAGCGCGCTAGCTAGTTCTCGTGTCAGTTCTTCGCAGACTAAGCGTAATTCTGCATTCTTCTCCCTTAATTCTTGTAAGGTTAATTTCTTCCCGTCCTCAGATTCGTCTTTATCTTCTTCACCACCATCTCGTTCTGTAAGAACAAGAGATTATATTTTAATTACCACGTATAATTAAGAGAAATAAAAATATGACTTTAAAAATAATTTAAAGCATCTATGTTTTACAAAAATAAAAAATGTTTTAAGATCTTTGCAAATTCATTTTCTTTAAAAAAAGTTAGATATTCCAGCTTAAATATAATAATAATAATCACAAAAAGTTTATGCGTTTTATTTAGAAAACCAAGTTGAATATAATGGATATAAAGAGAAAATACTAAATTGTTGAGAGAGTAAATGAGATTTTTTACTTGGACTAGGTTTTCTATAAATATGAAATGCTCCGCAGACTCCAGTGAATTGTTGAGATTGTGGCACTGTATTTTCTATAGATGGTATTGTAGTCTCAGGCAGTTCACTCTTAGGCGAAAAATGAGAAAAGTCAGCAATAAAACCTTGACTTTCACTTAATGTTCTTTGACCCTCGCCCTCACTTCTTTGCCCGACTAATTTACGAGGCGAAGTCTGCAACAAAAAAATACATCATTTACATTATTTTTCATAGAATATTATAATACTTGTTTTAAATATAGTTCTAAAAATAATGTTATTTTAAGATATATAAAATGGTTCTCTTTTAAAAAAGAAAAGTTTCTTATTATACATAAACAATGCTTACGATTCCTGGCGAAATTCTAGGTGGTACTAAAGGTGGTGCTCCAAGAAAACTTTGACCATTTTTTCCTACAAGAATACGTGCATAGTATTCAAAACATATAATTTTGTAATCACAAAAATGTATAATAAATTATCAGCAATTTATACCTAATTTATTAAGATCGAGACTAGAACTGCGAGCGTGTGTTCTATAAGGTCTGGGTGGTGGTGGAGGCGGTGGTTCCTTCTTGGGAGTCACAATTACGGCGTCTTCAGGAGCCGCGGAGGATTTCTTTGTAAGAGGTCGTTGCACTAATGATGCCGCAGAGTGTTGCAAATCGTCATCCATCAATGTAGTGCAACTGCTACTGCTGCCGTTAGCGCCGGAAGCGAGAATCGCCGCTTCCGGCGTTAAGCGCAACGGCACCGGATGCAAAATCTTCGGGTCTCTTTCGACGGCCGACTTTTGGAAATCAAAATTCACTAACTGCAATCCCGGACTGGTGACCGAACTACTCGCTCCGGTCGGCGAATCTACGAACTTCGTCCATTCCTTATTCTTCTCGCGGGCATTTGCGGAATTCGGCGGCGACTTTTGAGCGGTTGTTGCCGGTGGAATTTGCGGTGCGGCAGTTGTTTGCATGATTAACGGAATTGACAAGGACGGAGGTAAAACGTCGGGTAGAGGCACATGATTTCTCCTCAGCACAACAAGATGCATAGCTACGTAAAATTCTTGTAAACTGAGCGCTCCGTCCCTAGTAACATCTGCAAGCTGCCAAATACGTCTTAACTCGGAAACCGGTAGTCGCGACTTTTCGAAAAATGTTCTGGCCACAGGCCCCGCAAGAAGACCCTCTGGATCAGACTGCAGCTGCGCGAACTGTGCAGCGTAATAATCACGTTGCTCGTCACTGATAATCCATACTTCTTCCGGTGGGAAACCCGAACCATCGCCTTCCCCTTCACCTTCATCACTGCTATGACGTTCCGAACTCTCCTCCTCTGTGCCCAATAGCTGTCTTTGCTCTTCAGAAACCAGTAAACCTTGCCAGCCTCCAGAAACAGAGTCCAGGATCGTCTCACCACCCAACATACAATCATTTCTCTCTTGGGTCACGCTGTTTGTTGGCGTAGGAGAATCTGTACTGCCACCAGTCTCACGTGGAGACTCTGCTTCACTTTCACTTTCGGTAGTACTTTCTGGAGGATGATGTCTACCCTTTATTCCTCTAGTTAAATCTGGACTCCTGCCATCCTCATCACCAGAGGTCGGCCATGTAAATCTTGGTAAAGTGATAACATCCAGAGATGCAGTGATCATGTCTCTGGAGATTTCCAACCCAGCCTGATGAACCGCTATTAGTTTCAATACTGCATAAAACTGCTTCTTGCCCAGATGTGTATTGTTTTTAGTTCCGATGCAAATATCTAATATCTACAAATTGAAAGAAGCATTTGTTACTAACAAATATAATTATATAATATATTTCTATAATGTTCCAATATTTATACATCATAGATTAATTTATCAAATGTTTCAATAAATCAATCAATTTCTTTTCCTTTAAAATATTCATGATTTCATGATCATCATTCCAATGACAGGAATCTGCTTTGAATTAAAAATAATGTACATTTTACTTTAATGTATCAGAGCGTAAAAATTTAAAACGGTGCGATGCCCTAGATAACGTTAAAGGCGGAAATGACTTAATACACTCCTACCAGTGGATTAATTGATTCAGCTGACTACGACATAACCTCCACGAGCAAACCTGACGTCTCAACCTACATTTAATCTCAAAATCTCAACATCAACGATGAGACGACGAAAATCTCTCGAAGACTAGATGAATTCTATATTTGATAGAAGAAAAAAAAATACCGAAAAATGTCAGAGGCTCGAATCTCAAACTCACCTTCATCGTAATATCCCTGGGCAAGTTAGCCGAACGCAGCAACTCGGCGACTTTAATAACGGACACGCTGTCGCTGTCCGTGTTCTCGCAGCAATATATGAATATGTCACCGTAATAGCGATGCTCGGTCGCTGTCAGATGCAGACTCGCCATCGTTAGCAGCTCCCAATCCATCTCGAACGGTCGAGGACGTCCCCGGCTGTCCCGTTTCTGTCAACGTCTTCTGGTTGGAACTTCTTCTCTTCTTTCTTTACGTTCTTCTTCGCTCCTTCACGCGACACGGTCTACTTCGCTCACTCGGCTTGCGGGAATGCCGATCTGTCACCTGTCACATCTCGTCGCGGGAGATCTCGGGGAAAGTCCCACGAGAACGCGAGAGGAACGTTCGCGTTTTACAAGCTACACCCCCGTGCACGATTATCGGATGATCGCTATCTCCGGCTGACTGCCTGCCTGGCTGGCGCAATGTTTGACATTACCATAATCCGTGCGGACTAACTCATCGCCGTGCATCTTCCGGCCGGATCTGTGCGCGCTAACTCCAGTCGCTGAAGTCGCTCGCATCGGTTTTGGCGGAAAAGTCGAGATAAATCGATTGAAATATCGCGATTATTTAAACTTGCACGTTCCGTATCTTCTCGCATTTTTCTACTTAATTATCTGAATATTATAATCTCTCTCTTCTTATTGAGTACCTGTAAATTAATTACTGAAATTGTATGAATAATTATTATATGTATATATTACAATTACATTATGTAATATATAATATAATTATATTTATAGGTATATAAATATACTATATGTAATTTTTCAGCATATATGCTGTGTTAAAATATATATAACACACGCTGAAGAAAATTAGAAAAATAACGATATGTTTGGTCAATATAATATATTATATTATATTTCATGATTCTCTCATATTATTCTGATCGAACGATACCTCAACCAAAGTATCGAAGTTAATAAAAGATCGAAATGATTCATTAGTAATAAAGCCGTAATAATAAAACGTGGAAATTATATTATTGTTAGTACTTTTCACTATCGCGCATTATTTTTTTTTCTTCTACAAGAATAAATTCAAATATCAATCGATACACATTTTCACACATTTAATACAGTTTTTTTTAAGATATCGTTATATGGGATGGAATTATATCAATGAACAGAATAATACACGCGCGCACATTTCAAAGTCAATGAAATCGTCCAGAATATCGTCTCTTCGAAAGTCGAGACAGAAAAGTTCAACGAAGCGTTTACAAGTCATCGAACATTATTGTTATCGATTTTCGAAAATGAAAAGAAACGATATTATTAATCGTACAAAATGACTCGTGACTAGATGAAGAAATTATTACGATACTTCAATGTAATATGATAATGCTATAGTTTCGTTAGCACGACGCGATAGTGTTTTAAATCGATCGATTTGGAGTTTGTATTTAGATGAAAAAAAGTCAGTGGAACGAAGAATTCTCCACGTTGACCAACGAAGAAGTGCCCTTCTTTGCGCTATCGCAACGTCCTGCGTTCGGTTTCTGTCCGATCGTTTTCAATCGCGTTTTCTGCACCGATGAATCTTCCCTTGGACTGCCGGTAATATTTTCAAAATCCCAATTGTCGAAATGTTCCTCGAGCAAGTCTTCCAATTTCTTTGAGAGCACCTCAATCTTTTTGGTTCGCTCATCGTCATGCTGTAATAAAACGACTTTCTGAGAATAGAACTTGAATCTAACATAACATAAATTTTAAAAAATCGAAAGAAAAATTTGCCTTGTGAAAATTACATATAAATTATTATATATATTATATTTTGCATATTGACATATATTTACAATCTTTATGTGTGCGTGTGAATATTAAATTTAAAATTTTATAATTTTTTGCATTGTATAATCCTTATCGCGTGAATATATCAATTAAAAAATATATAATAGAAAAATAAAATATAAATATATACATACCTATATGTATATATAAAGAAATAATAAAAAAGATTGTTGATTATATGTGATAATTTTGATTACAAAATTGATTACAAACCTGATGATATAATCTCGCATTGTGAATAATGCGACGGAAATCTTTTACGGCGTGCTCGACTTTATGATAAATCCGGTTCTTCAGCTTGTACTCGACGATCTCGAGAAACATCGGGCTTTTAACAACCTTACAGTAATCCTCCATCTGCGAAATTGAAAAAGAATATTTTCATTATCTGAGAAAATGCAAATATGTCTCTATATATATACTATTTTTTTATTGGAAACTAACTATTCCTGCGGATAGAGACTGGCCATCCTTATTATCGCAGGAGAGTGGATACTTGAAGATCTTCGCTTCATCCATTTGCCAGACAGTTTGATGAATCATTTCCAGCTTGCTGAGCGCAAGAGGACTCAGGCTCTGTTTTCTCCTAGAACTGTACCAGATCGACCAGCCGCGATCGCTCGATTTAATGGTACACTTGTCTTTCGATGAGTGTTCCAAATCTTTTTTTCCATGCGTTTTCACGGCAATTGGAAATTTTGACATTACATTGTTCGACTTAGCACCGCTGACTTTCGCGCACGATCCTTCTTCCAGTTGGAAATCGTTGCCGCCTGCACTCTTCCCTGTCTTCTTATCAGCTGATCTTCGCGATTTGTGTAGAAGCTGATAAGATTGTTCGGGATCTTTTCTCTGACACTTGCGGCCAGGAATCGGTATTACGGTAGCCGTCGACGATGATGACTTACTCGGCTCTTTTCTGTCCAAAATATTGTTCGGTTTCATGGATCTTCGCACCGTCTCGGAATATGTAGCTCGTCCAACATAACTTTCCGATTCTTTCGTCGACGTTTCGTCGTTTCGCGAGAAAGAACCAGAGATGTGCTCGCGAGAGGAGATCGCTGGATATTCCCTGTTGACGACTGTCACAGGAGTTTTCGTATCTGCATCCGCAATTGACGACGCTGCGACCTGATCTAGTTTTACATCAGCAATTTCCGAGCTATTCGAAGATTCCAAACTTCGTAGATCTACGTCGTCCTTGTGTTGTTGCTTCTGTTTGCCGACGATACTCGCGTTATTGAGAGTCCTGATCAGCCAGGAGTCCGTCTTCACGTTGGTCTTGATGCCGAAAGCTGTTGAATATGCTTTTTAGAAAAGGTTTTTTTGCTTATTACTAGGTACCACCTGCAAAAAGATCGCGAGATATTTTTTTAATAGTTTTCATAACATCTGAGTAATGAAACGCGCTTTTGAAAGTTTCCTCACGAGAAGATTTATTGTTTCGATAAAACTTGGAATTCATGACTTATATTCTATGGATTTAATTATTTTTTTATAAAAAATATAACATGATAAAATCATACGTTCATATAACTAATAAGTTTTGTGATGATTATTCAATATATATAAGAAATATTATAAAATGCTTTTCACGATATTACATTTACTACATATGTTTATTAATAAACTCGAGAATTAACTATAATAAACCGCGATATTTTTACCATTCTCTTCTTCACACAACTGGGATGCTGATAGTACACTCGTATTGGGCGATAATTTACATGTGGACCCCGAGTCATCTTCGGAAGCTTCATAGGATGAGGCATAATCGACGCTATTGTGCTTTAGTAACTTCAGATCGTTCTGCTGTGACGTCTCATTATTCTTGTTCTTATCATCTTTTTCATTATTATCATTGCAATCAATTTTCTTGCACGTATTGCCGGAGTCCTTTACGTTAAGAGCCTCGAGAAGTATCTCGGCCGAAGCGCAGGCAGCTTTCCACGTAATATCCTGATGAGCGTCCTGCGATAAAGATTCTGCGTGTTTTAAGATCCTAGGCGAGTTCTCCAGGTCGAACAGAGGAGCAGGCAACTGCGAAGCCGGCGGAAACGATGTCTTGATCAGCGTTGAGTTACTGATGGTCGGCGCGTTTGCATGTGACAGAGGTGTCGAGGATGCGAGTATCGATATGTTCTTCCCTTTGCTGCCTACATTGTAATGACTGCTCGCGTTGCGAGACGTCGCATTGCTGTTGTCCGATTGTCGACGATTGGATCTTCTCTGGTGCCTCTTGCGTGGAACGTTGTAACTTCCCGGTTTCATGTACACCCGCACGTCCTCGGAACTATCGTACTCTTCCGGCGCATGTTGCGTCGTCTGATGACGATTGACGAAATTAGCGGCAGCCCATGGTGTGCTCTGAATATTCGGCAGGTTCTGCAAGGCTTGAAATTGTCGATTCGCATCTATCTGCGGCTGCTTGGACTGCGTCGAGAACTTGGGCATCTCTTGCTGGGCAAATAATCGCGACTCCGAGTTTTCATTCATCCTGAACTCCTCGAAAGTAGACGTGGTCGCCGGAGGCTGCGCGTTTCTCATGCTGGCGAACCAGGCCGACAGATTGGCAGCCATTTCCTTAGACTCCTTGTCAAACGTTCTCGGCTCAATTTGGCTGAGCAGAGTCATCTTATTCCTGGGTACAGTTGGAAATTCTGTCTGATCGGTTTGCGGTCTGCCGACGTAAGCCGAATGGATATTAGCGCTTTTACTTCCGTAATTTTGCTCGGAATTTCTACTGCTTTTCGAATTAATATCGGTAATCGGATAAGAATAGTCCGAAGAAGAAGGATGACCGCTGTAAGTTAAGATTCCCGGGTTGGACCCGGGATATGATGAAGAGCTTGGGTGACTGGACAAAGGAAATGTGAAGGATGAAGAGTTCTGCGCGTATAATCCACTGTAAGTTAGAGGAGGAGTGTTCATCGTTGACTGATCGGTATTATTATGTGACCCTGAATGTTTAGTTTCCGATCTAAACTTTAGTTTTCGGGCTTGTCTTCTGTCTTGTTTCGCCGCATCCACGTTGCTCACCATCACTTTATCCCTCAGTTGACAGAACTCGGCATTCAGTGATTTTTGAGAGGACTCAATCTTCCGGGACGTGGATGCGTTCTTCGTACGAAGTTTGGTATTCGCCAGACCACCGATATCCGTCGCATGATACACGTTAGGCACGGACTTGGTAGTATTAATCATCGACGATAAATTCTCGGTAATCGTCCACTTGCTTCGTAATTTACTTTCTTTCTGAGCAGCCGATTGCTGCTCTTGTTGGTCAGAAGTGTACTGAAAATTATGTAGACTACTCGTTGACAGCGGCGTCGACGTAACACTAGGTAGATATTCCCGAGAAGAGGCTTTTCTAACTGTGTTCTGCTGAGTAAAGGAACTCGAAGACGGCTGAGCGAAGAGATTATAGTTCATGTAGAGCGACACGTCACCTGGAAATGAGGACGATTCGCAATTCGTGTTGTATTTTTCATCTGTCACTTCATTATTCTCTCCGAATTTCTGAAAAGTCCGGACTATTTGCTTCAACAACTGGCATGTGCTCTCTTCCCACGTATGAAAGCATGCGATCAATTCGGGCTCCAATCTGTCGAACAAATTGGGAAAGTGTTGTTTGTTCAAGTAATTATCGAGACTCAGCCATCCGTTGCTAATACGTAGAAGCGCGTTTATAAGATCGTTGGCGAGAACTCGATCTCCCGCGAAGACCGGGATACATATCGAAGACTTGGTGATTGCCGTCCTAGTGGCGGATGACAGACACGTTAACCAGGTTTGTTTTGAGTCGTCCGTTTGCGAATTGTTGGAGCCGAGCACGATCTCGGCTTCTGTGCATCCCCAATAAGCCGTCTTCCGGATCAACTCTGGATACTGTGATCTATCGGTATTCGGATAGGCATCTGTTTGAACACCTATCGACGTTCCATTCTCGTACTCGGAGCAGAAATCGGTGAACCAATTCGTCCTGTTAGATACGTTGTCTCCGGCACCGCTAAACAACGCCGCGGAATCAGTTTTGTTATCGGGTTTTGATTCTTCCTTATTCAAATCGTTCGAGGATGTGGTATTGCACAGAGCGGAAACCATTTTCTCGGCCTCGATGGTGAAGTCGAAGCTGATCGAAGATTCATCCGAATAATGTTCCTCGTCTGTCTTCGCGGAAATGGGCTTTTGCGAATCGCGATCAGCAGATTCGAGACTTTTGTTGTTGCTCGCAGTATGCGCATCGCACGAATTCTTGGCAGACGTCTCGATCTGAGGCGGCCAGCTGTTAAAATTGTCGCTATGAGTGACAGGAACGACTTGAGATTCACATACGCTTGATGGTGTCTTGTTCGCGTCGTGTTTGACCGGCGAGAGATCTAACACGGGTAAAGATTTGTTGTCCTTGCGCGTTGGAGCGAGGATTAGACCAACAGGCGGATTCGTGAAGAGCGGAGAGGATCGCACCGTCATCGGAAACTGATTGGTATTGAAGGTAGCTAAGTTGGTGTAAGGATTGATGTTGGAAGGAAGAGGGAAGGATGAGTTGGCGTTAACGGTTTGCAGACTGCAGGTGTTTGTGGCCGAGATGTTGTAGTAAGAAGCCTGCATCGGATGCTGCTGCTGCTGTTGCTGGGCGTTTTGTCGGTCTTGGATGAGGCAGAAGGTCTGTACGTTTGACGGCTTAAAGTTGAACGATTGCGGTAACAGATGCGTTACTCCGGAATTGTTGTAATGTTGGCTGGACAACGGTTCAGCATGAGCGAATGTGGACGAAGCTACTAAGTAGGATGTGGTCGACGATGGGATCGGAGCGATGCTGGAAGACGGTTGGTCAAGGAGCACCACGGGTTTCGGATTACAAGAAAGCGGCTGTTGTTGTTGGTAGTATAGTTGACCGCGGGATGGCTTGTTCTTAGAGTGCCATCGATTGTTCTTACCTATATTCGCGTGAAAGAATACTCGTCATTCTCGCTATTAGCATTAACAATACAATTGCAATTATAATTAATATATTATTTGTGACTTATTTAATATCACTTGTATCGCAAGAAACTGTTCCATGAAACAGATTCGAGAAAGAATCAAGGATATAAAGAAAAATGTATATCAATCAAAATTAAAGTTTATTTTTCAGACCTTGAAGATGCAAAGCAGCGGAATTCGGTGAACCAATGTGAGATTGAACGCTCGGATAAACGTATGAAGGATGAAGCACTGTTCCACATGGTTGAAGAGTCACCATTGGATTACTGATAGGAGCATACAGAATTTGTTGTTGTGGCTGATGATAAACGGACGTCGTCGATGGACTTGGAATTGGGGATGATCGAGGATGATATACAGATGATCGATTTGATCGTGCAGCTGTTGGACGCATGATCTGCTTGATCTTCAGATCAGAATTGAATCCTCCGCCGTCTCCAAGTCGACGTTAGCAGCTTCTACTAGACGACAAAATCTGTCAATGTCGTGTTATCGATATTGTTATTGTTCGAAGTTTTTAATACCAATGCGAATTATTTCAGGAATGCAATTGGTTACGTCTTTCGCACGTCAAATTACGTTATTTCGTTATTAATTGCGCGTTGATATCTCATCGCACATTTAATTTCATCAGAAAATGATTATTTACTTGATTAAAACCATAACGCCGCTGTAATAATATATATTGCAAGCAAAATACATTTTAGATTAAATGTAATAAAGTTAAAGTAATGTTATTTAAAAGAATCCTTATTTGAACTTATAGTGATAGTCGTTTATCTAAGTGAAATGAATATAGCCGCTATATCAGCTGTTGATTGAAACTCATCTAACTTCTTGTTAAGAATTATGCACATTCTTTAAAAAATTATTACTTTCGTTTTACGATATTTTGCAGAGTTATAATTAACGTCTAGTCACAGTAATGCTGCCTTTAGATTATATTACCTTATGGTAATGTCAATAAAAATGATATATGCAATATTTTTAAACACATATGTGCCTATTATATATTGCATATGAAAATAATTTTTACTTAAAAAAATAAATTATGTGTGTTCAACAAATGTTGTTGGTTAATATATTGTTCATTTTATAATATTGATGCTGCTATACACACAATCAAAATATGTATATACAATATTGCAAGGAAAGAATAAGAGAGATTATTTTGAACTAAATTTTTGCAGTTAGATCTATAGCAGAAAAAATAATGCAAAAAGAAGTTTGTAAAAAGAAGTATAAATATTAACTGATGTAGAATTATAAATGAGTTTGAACTAAAGTAAAGTTTGAACGTTCATACTAATTTAACTTTAGAAAAGAACAATATATTGTGATCATTGAACATACATAATAAAATATAAAACGGTTTTAATAAAATAAGTTAAAATTAAATTTTGTAATATTACTTTATACATTTCCTTTTTTTTCTCATTCATTCTCGTTATCAAAATGTTTCCTCATTATCTTCCTCTATTGGTTCTTTTGTAAATTCCACTGTAAATACTGCTTTGCCAGATATTCGTCTTTCTGCGATAAATAAAATAAAATTATAGTCATGTAAAATGTATAGACTCAATTATGACTTACCTGCTCTTAAAAGAAGAAGTTGACATTGATTTAATATAGCTGCTTTTGATTTACTTTCGCTTAAACCTAACATAGACCCACTATGTATCATAATATATATTAGAATAATTATGAAAAACATAGACTATTATTTAAGCAATCTAAGATAAAATCATTAATAAAAAACTAAGTGCAATTTTATAATTACACTATTCATTATAATCACATTAATTTAAAGGATACAGATTTATTATATCGTAAGGGCTCCTGATTAAATTGGGGTTGTCTGCACCACTCGATATGATTACATTCTATATAAATAAATAAAATTTATATATATATATATGTACATAATAATGTAAAGATATTCTTATTTATCATAATAATAATCATTTTTAAGTTATTCACTACTGAGAAAGTACATATGTACAAATGTACTTAATTATATGAACTTACCATGCACTTATAATACATGTGAAGTAAATGAGAATAATGAATAGTTGCTATCCGTGTTTTTCGGTTTAAGAGATCTGCATATTGTATTTCAAAACATAAACCTCTTGCTACTGCCTGTCGATATAGCTTTCTTTTCAATTTTATGCCAGAAATTGATGGTCTCATTGTGATAAGATCTGCATTTAATTGTGTACAAGCAAACTGTAAAACAAAAAAAACAATGATATGTAAAATGACATAAATTAAAAAATATACATAAAAAGTCAATTTATGTTAAAAAATAAATATTATTTTACCTCCAACATATCTTGTTTAGTAGGAACAATAGCATATAAGTTATATTTTTTTAAATTTGCAGACTGTGTCTGTAAAAACAAAATTATTTAAAAGATTAGTATCACTTTAATTTTTATTTTGAAAATCATGTAAGATTTTGTGAAGATTATTTATTATTTTCAACAGATAAATATTATAGAATTATATATTTAAATATGTTATGTAATTCAATATTTAAAAAAAAAATGCAATTATATTTCTATCAAAATAAATAATTCAAATACAAGTTATCAAAAATTACCAATGTATGTGTTTTTGTAGAATTTGAACAAATAAATGTGATCCTATTAAGTATACACATTTTTCCCTCAAATTTCTCATTTAGTTTGCACACATTAATAGGATCTGGCACCATATCTGGAACAGTTTAAAGCCTGTTTTACAATTGCATAAACGTAAATGTAAGTGGTTGTACAGTATCGTAAAAAGCAGTTTTAAACTATTACTACCATTTGCAACAGGTAATAATAGCTTATTTAAACCATTAATAGTTTATTTAAACCATTACTACCGTTTACAAACGATAGTAATAATTCAAAACTGCTTTTTACGATACTGTACAACCACTTACATCTACATTTACGCAATTGTGAAACAGGCATTACTTTCTTCACCTTTCTTCTTCTTTTTTTTATCACAATCAATAGCACTTTCATGTACAGTTTGATTTAACATCACTGTCTTATAGCCATCTGAAAACAAATAAATTGATGAATTGATAAAAAATGGTACAGACACATTAATTAATTAATTTATCTTTTATTTCGCAGCTAACTTACTTTGATATAATTTTAATAAAATATCGTCTAAACGATGCTTATTCTCGTTCGATACATTTATACACAAGTCAAAAAATCCATTACTTGGTTTAAAATCCATCTCAACGAGTTAAGTGCAAGTGTTTTTTTTCTTTTTTAATTTGTTAAAACACAAGAAATGTAAACGCGTCTCTTTTATAATAAAAAAAACACGTGTTAATACACGTGTTGCACACTTTCACTTAATTATATTACATTTAAAAATTTCCTAACATAATCGATACAACACGACCAATATTTGATTAATAATGGCACTGGTTTGTACATATAATTAACACCGTCGAAAATAAAAAATAATACTAAATATAACAGTATCCTATTGTTATGTGCAAGGTGAGAAACAAATCAGCTGATCAGCTGATGCGCGAGTGGCGAGACATCTGCAACTGGTTGCTGCCGCTGCGAGTCGATAAAGCTTGTATTCGTTTAGTACAACAGATGGTTAATTACAATTATTGGAGTGCAACAATCTCGTTTGCTTTGCTTAAAAATCATTTAAAGTTGGACGGATTGCCGCTCACAGGATTCTTTGTTCTCTCTGTTAGTAAATGTCTCACCAGTTTACTTGTCAAATTAGAGTCGATATTAAAATATATATTTTAAAATAAAACTTTGCAATTTGTGAGGATATAAGCAAAAAATGCCGAGATAATCAATTTTAAATTTCTCTCTTTCTGTCTTTAATAAATTTATAATAAGTAAACACACGCAATTCGATAAAAAATAAGATTGTTTTGAAAGTTAGAAAAAACTATATATATCTTTAAAAAAAATTGATTATAAATTTAAAAAAATTCAATAAAAGAAATTAATAAAGATTTTATATTAAGAAAATTATAAAAAAATCAAAATTATAAACATAATTTATATATAAAATCATATACCTGAAATCATATATACATATATCGTAAAATGTATATTAAAAGATAATATATGTATATTAAATGTATATTAAATGTATATTAAAAGATATATATATATATATATACTTAAGTGGAATATGACATATAGCTCGAATTAATTATTGCGAATATTTAAACAGGATTATTTTTATTCTTAACATCCTGTAAGATTAGATCAAGAATTGTATTTTCAGTTACTAAACATCAATGAAGATAATTTCTTGCTTTGTTATTTTTAATTACTGAAATACAGATTACCTTCGTCGGTTTATCTATTCGATCGAAGGATATACGCTATTTTGAATGAAGAATAACCTCGTACACTTTTATATTCGTTTCTATATAAAGACGAGAACTATATAAACACCGAGTTCATTTTTTGATTCGACTTTGTTAGCTGAAGATACTAGAGATCAATCCTGATTATGGAATTCAAGTTTGGATTGATTTTTATATTCACCATTGCAAATTGCATAGTACGTATAAACTTCTTTGTCATAAAAATTACACAATATATCAATATAGATTTATTATATTATTTATTTTTATTTTTATTTATCAAATATTTGGCAAATTTAGCAATAAAAATAACTCTATAATAAAAATTTGCTCGAAATCAAGCAAAAATAAGATTCCATTTATTTCAGAGTCGTGATACTTAATTTTTAAAAATTGATTTTTTTACATATACATTTAGAGTATCAGTGTTTTTTTAACATTTTTATTTAAAAAAATTAATCAAAACTAATACTAAGTCACAGATTTTACTCTCTTGTAATATTTATTTTGAATTAGATTGTCAAAATATACTCACTCGCAAAAAATGGACCACCAAATTTCAGCATAATTTTTTGACATTTTTGAATCGCGATAACTCAGTAAAAAATCATTGTACTGAGATGAATCAGCGCTTAAATTAAAGCTAGAACATTTCTCTTAATAATATAAAAGACCAGAATTAAATCATAAAAATATTTTACAATTTGACGGACATTGAAGATATAACGTTACAAAATGGGGAAATAATGTCTTTTTTAAATTTTTGCATAGTTCATCAGGGGAATCGGGTCCCAGGTATAAAAATTATGAGTTTTGAAGCTCATTAATTTCCTAACAAATCCATGTTTTAAAATTTATTCTACGATTTTTTGACAAAGTTAAACTGTTTTGAAGAAAATGCCACGAAATGGAACTTTTCTGGTAAAATCTGCAATTTAAAAACACACACACATAAATTTTTTTATCGTCCGGCATTTTGTATAATATTTTTATAATAATTTTGGTCTTTTGTATTATTAAGACAAATGTTCGAGCTTTAATTCAAACGCTGGTTCATCTCAATCTGATGATTTTTTTACCGCAATTTAAAGATGTGAAAAAAATGTACTAAAATTTGGTGACCCATTTTTTTGTGGATGAGTGCATGCACAAAATATGTAATATTTTTGAAAATATATACCAGGCATACGAAAGGTATCCTAATACACGGTTATTTCATCGACGATATCCGTACTATCAATCGAGCAACGACGGAATTCCCGGTGTAGCCGGGCTAGATTATCCAATCTTCCGCCAAGTTCCCCGGACGCGATTCGAGTGCGAACGGCACCGACATCCGGGCTATTATGCTGACCCTGAAGCCGACTGTCAGGCCTTCCACATCTGTCAACACGGCGGTCGTAAGGATTCATTCCTTTGTCCGAACGGTACGTTATTCAATCAGGAGAGACTGGTCTGCACGTGGTGGAACACCGTGGATTGCTCTCGCGCTCAAAGTTTCTACTCCATTAACGAGGCGGTTGCAAAAGCAATGGAGGAAGCTGATAGGTGAGCCATGCATTATGTAAGGAATTGTTCAAAATACGTACCTACCTGCCTATCTACCGTGCGTCCGCGCACGGTATTCGCATGCACGGTTGCATAATCGGACATAATCTTCTTATCTCCTCGCGGGCTTAAATACGAAAAATGTTGCGGCAACATTTCTCTTAACGTTCTCTTTAACACGCTGAATTATTTCATAATAAAATAAGTGCGATAAAAGTCACACACGGCCCGTGCAATAATAATAGGCATGTCTCACTTTCATTCGTATATATGTATACAGGAAGATATGATCGGACTCCCCCGCTTGCAATTTTCACCGTTGATTGAGTGGTGATATCTAAAAGAATCCGATGATCGTAAACATGTCAACACCACATTATTAATTCCAATTTATGTAAAATACATTAGTAATTTTTTTTCTTCCGCGTGCCGTAAAGCTCGCTTTTAAATACTCACGTAATTGAGGATTTTTAGATATGCTTCTTATATACTTGGATTTTATATCTGCCTTTCCACATTCTTTATTAGTTACTTATTATATATGTGTTAATCATCATTCTACTCTTTCACAATGAAGACGCATCAAAGTAGCTCCTGAAAAGAAGCTCTTCCGAGATTATAATCAGCGTGACTATAACATTGAGGCTGGACCTTGGAATAAATACAATCGGCAAGGCGGACAACGAGGATGGAACAAAGACGGCACTCCGCTTCGTGACGATCAAAATTCGTATTTCACTAAGAAGTTCTTTTATGAAGCACCTATTCACGGAGCATCTAAATTTCCCACTAAACCTTTCCCGAACACGAACACTCGTTACAGTAATTTCTATTCGCCGACTTCCGCGATCGCCGGTGTTGAATTTGGCAAACAAGCGACGAGGAACAACTTTGCGAAACCAGCTAACACTTATCTACCTGTATCTCGTTACTAGATCAAATGTCGTAATAAATAATGCTCAACATGTCATATACTTCATATATTTTAAATATGCGAGCATTATATTAATAAAGAGCATTTTCAAGATAAATTGTATATACAATTTACAAATCTGTTTTTAATTTTTTCGCTTTTTTTCGAGAAAATTTTCTTTATTATATTATTATTAATTCGCAGTTTACTGAAATATTTTATTAAGAAAACACTTTATAATTTTTGGAGTGTAACAATAGAAATGAATTTTGCTTAAGAGAAATAATTATAAAATGTTTAAGGAAACAATGAGTGTATGAGAAAGAGAGAAAGCAAAGGAGGAAACGAGTAGTCTAAAAGTAATGAAATTGCACAACCATAAAACTTTTGTTTGCAAATTCTGTTTGAAGATTTTGCTTTCCTTAGAATTTTGCCCCAGTTAACAAACATAGAATCGTGCTTTACCAGAGTCGTGCTCTTTAGCTCGTTCTCCATCATTTTAAATAACCAGTCATATATATTCAAAACGTGATAATGTTTAAAAGTAACTGCAACTGATTAGTTGAATTAAATTTAATTACAAATTATCTAAAATGTATTTTATATGAAACATATTAATTTTTGAAAAGAGGAATCGTTATTCTTTTAGTCACGCTATTAATTATCACATACACATATATGTGTACACCAAACCAAGTACAAAATAAAAATAAAAAAAAGCTTTACGATAGCAATGAATTTAAATATTTAAATAATATTGTATTTTGTCAAAAACTCAACAAATTATGAGAATTAATATTGAATGCCTAATAGACTTCTCGTCTTAGATTTCTCCTTGTTTGGCGTTAAATGGATTTCTCCAACACGAGCAATCTATTTAATCCTTTCATATACTTTTGCGAGTATAGATGATGCAGTCAAGCTACATTTAAGACAACATCAGCTTATAATATCACGATTTATGAACGAAGGAAGGGCTCTTCCATCATCGATAAACGTGCGATGAATAAGCGATGACGCAAGCGCAGATACGGCTTAGTGTTTCTCTCTACGTCTTTGATATTTCCCGATTTCTGAAAGCAAAAAGGGGCGAGTGTCGATCTCGGTGAGATACAAAACGCGATCTTCTAAAATATATATATATATATATATATGTCCACTGCATCTTGCTTGAGAGCCAAGATTAAAGCGCCTTTATGATCGTTCGCGCGAAGGTCGATCGTGATTCACTGATGTAGGCGCATCCCCTTTAGTCTTATAAATTCTCACGGATCCAAACTTCAATGCTCCTATTCATAGATTTCGAACAGACATAACGTAGACGTGGAACAGACGCGTGTCAATTATGACATGTATATACAGGGTGTCTGACATAAAGTCTTACACCGAAAATATACAAGTCTCGTTATTTGGAGACGACTTTTCCGCAACAAAATGTATAGGGAAGCCATCATTTTTTGCATGTTCCTAATTTTCACCATCATGTATCTTTATAACTAAACCTCAAATTAAAATTTAATTAAAGTAAACTCTACTTGATATTAATTTGAGAATGTGATTTTGTTAATATTTATTTATTTCCACAAGGCTTAGTTTGCGAAAAACTCTATTTTTCAATCGCTTACCTATAACTCGAGAGTTATTGATGCCTCACTATTTTTGTTGGGGAAAAATTGTTTCCAAATAACAAGATCTACCTGTATATTTTCGGTGTGAGACTTTATGTCAGACATCCTGTATATGCCTGTTGCACGAATTCTCCGTACTGTAATATTCACGATTCTCTCGCAAATACGTAAATGCATAACTGAATAACATCAATCAAAAAGATAGATCACAATGATCTTGATTGAACATCTCGTTCTTGCAGGAAATTGCGTACTAAGTGCTTGCTGCGCGATCGGAAAAGTGGTTTGAAAAATCTCTCATTAGAGAACAGTGAAATATGCAAAGGATCTTTTATACACTATACGCGTATAATAGAACTTATAAAAGCAGTTAACTTAACGTACAGCTGCTAAAGACAGTTGTTAACTACAATTTGCGCAAACTGTGAAGCAACTTCTAAAGTTATGAAATGCAAAACAAGCTAACAAGTAAAGGGACTTTATCGAGACATTCTTGATTACTATCATAGAAATTTTGTCTTAATGCTTGTTATAATAATCTAATTGATCACCTAAAGATAGAGTACATATTTTTTTACTAAAGCGCGAAGACTAGTTTTTATCGATCTCTTTTACTGAAATCTCTTTACAATTAGTCACATACAAATAGAATGACGTCGATATATTAACGTGCTAAAACAATCTTTACGATGTTATTATAGGAAAATATAATAAATATAAAAAATGTCATTATATAGAGAAAGGTGTTATTTCTATTGTCTACATTTTTTAAGTATTTTATGACAGAGAATTCCCGAGTATAAATTCACCAATTATCACATACTTCAATTATCAATACTCTTCCTTCATTGTTACAATGTTGAATCAAGAACTAATCACTTCAAGTAATAATAATCCAACAAAACATATGTATTATCAAGATACATGTGTGCGTGCATGATCGGTACAGTATAAAGTAATTATAAAGAATAGGAGGGTACAAGATGACAAGGACGACTTGTCTTTCATTCCAAACGATCCGTCACCGATGTGACGCAATTGTTAAGAGAAAGAGACGATTATGTTGATATAATTCAGATCTTTCTGCTTTACTTGCCCTAATTTTGATAAAGTTTAATAGCGACACGGACATTCGAATATAATAAGTTTACTCGAGATCTTCTCACGATTATGTCGTAATTGTAAATCTTTCAAGGATTAATGTGATTGATTTGTTGCAATAAATCGCTTTGATGATTTTGTAACGTCTGTTGGAGATCATTACCCCCTCTTTTTTTAACCACTGAAAATTATTTATTGATGGTACAAAATGACTTAACCGTTTCTTCTCATATGGGAGAGCTTCGGCTGCGCAGATCGTGAGACAGTTGTCTATGTTATACATAATACAATAAGCTGCGCGCACACATTCCGGACATGTTTTGCGAGGGAACCAAGTGAAGTACGGAAAGTACGACTGAAGTCTCGCGCGCGTGAGAACAAATTTGATGTAATTATCACGGATGAGCATTATATACCGTCTGGTCTCGGAGGAGTGTTATGTATAGAAATTCCATCATAACTATACTTATAGATTTTCTTTTTCCGTATTTCATCATCATTATTAATAACTATTTTTTTGACAAAAAATATTAATAAACGAATCCTAATTATATTTATAGATTTTCTTTTTCCGTATTTCATGATTTATTATTTTAAAAAATGTTATTAAAAGAATATCGATAAAAATAATGTCACAAAGTCTTTTTTTTAATATTTTAAAAAGCTTTTCCTTTTTAGTCTTGAAATTAGATATATGTTTTATTTGTACGTGTGTGTAAATATAATGTAAAAATTATAATTAATTCATATATATATACATTCGCTACAATAAGATCATATTCGTCATAGCGGTGAGTGACGAATGCATTGGACACCGTTGCAATTTGCAATAAATTATTATAATGATAATCAATTTTTTGTTTTATGCCGTTAAAACTGTTTATTATAATTATATATATGTCACAAATGTTAAAGAATTCTTAAAATATTCATAACATAGATGAGTTCTGATACAACCAATCGCTAGACTTCATTAACGATTAGTTCTAGAGGAATGGATGATTTTGCAACGCGTAAGTGATTATCGCAATCGTATTAAATCGCAGGTGGATCTTAGAAAAGACGAGCTAGCTAATACGATTCGAGCCTTTCTACACTAGACGGATCATTTATGGATATTGCAAGCTTTCGATATATTGTTTTGTAAAAGTGAAAATAATACTTTTGACATGTTCGCAAATTTTAAAATTTATTTCAATGTGAGTTAGAAATTGTTTTATATGTATACATATATATATAATAATTATAAAATTCTAAACAGCAATTCTAAAGTTTAGACAGAATAGCAGCTTTTGTTTAATAGTTTTTTACTATTGTATGTACGATAGTTTTGATTATTAAAGAAAAACAGAATTATTACTAAACAGATAAATTTGTATAAACTATAATTTAAATTTAATTTAACTTTACAATCTATTACAAGCACTTGATTTCCACGCAGTTACAAGCATTTGATGATGGTGTAACATTCAACGCATCTAATTGTAAACTGGTTTTTATAGTACGCAGGCAAGAGGAATCGAAGAAATAGAAGGAATATATTTGCCTTAGGGGCTCGCATATCGAGAGCCCTCGAGGTTTTATAAACTGAAATCCTATCCCCATCCATATATAATAATGAATAAGTTAGCAAATAGCTGATTCTGATCGCTGCTAACCTGATGTCAACACGTATGTGAATAGGCATTAAATACGAGAGGATTAAGAATAAATCGGCCCGTATCGTGCGGAGGATTACATATATAGAATCGCGCGCGAGAGAAGCGCTATCGATATATCGATGCCCGCTTTTGTCTCACACAGACAAGTGTGAGATACGCGCCGACAATCTTTATGCCGCCCACGCGCGATGCAGTAACTCGCACTCTGCGGTGAAAGCTCCGAAGAGGAAGACACGCGAAGACACCTCGTGTCACTATGAACGTCCGATGATGATTACGCGATGATGCAGGCCGATTATGATTTCTGAAACGAAGCGCCCGGTCCTTTGACGAGCGCTGCGTCATCCTGCGGAGAGAGATTAGCCGAACGAAAGTAGGTCTTCGAAAAATTGATCCAAAAGATAATAATGAAATTGAACCAATCATCGATTCAAGATATCGATGTAAGATGTGTACACAAGATAATATTGCTTTAAATTATGTTACATATATTTTTAATAACATCTCTAACAACGCACATATCCTGAGAATGTTCGAATGTCTTCTGAATATTTTCTGGATATTCTCTGGATATACATTTATTTTTTAATTAATTTTTTTTGCAACAATTACGTGATAGGAATCCTTGGGGCATTTTGCAGAGTAATTTAAATTTATTTTGCCTCTTTATTTTTTCTATTACAAAGTCTGAAAAAATTAGTGCAATCTGCTTTACTCTACCCTTCTAATGATTCTTTGGAGAATAGCTTCGACATCTCGAATGTAAAATAAAGCAAAAGATTCCTTGCGTTGGAGGAGCGTTTGTGATCTCTTCTATGTCGAAGGGTATTATTCTCTACAGTTTTTCCGATATCATGTATTATTTATTAGAGAACACATCTCTCTTTGTGTGATCAGAGGATCAAAAGTTCAGAGGTAGAAACAATCATATACAATTTTATATATACAATTACTTCAGCAATTATTTATGGGATGCAATAAAATTTTTCAAATATTGTATATATATAAATTAGTAATAAATGAAGAAGAAATTTTGTAAGGCTTTCTTCTTTGTAAGATCTTTTAAGTATTGTGTTTCGCACAATTCTTTTTAGTTTCTATTAAAATTATTAATATATTATACGTATATATTATTTTAAATTTTATAAAAATAAAACACACGACTCATAATTGTTATAATTATATAATTCATACTATATGTTTTATATTATAATAAAAGATTATTATGAATAAGCATTTGCTGATAATTAAAAATATATAAATTTTAATAGAGTATAATATTATATAATAACAGTTTATCAATAACATTAAAAATATATAAATTCTCAAATTATTAATAGCAGTCACTAGTATTTAAATATAAGTTGTAGAAATTAATCGACCAAACTAGCGATATAATTGTGTTTCATTTGATAAGGATCACAATCTTAGTCGAAACGTCGCGAAGCTGAATAAATTATTTACTCGCTAGTTTGGTCGATTAATTTCTACAACTCCTATTAAAAATATATATTATATATTAAATTTTAATTTATTCCTAGATATAACCTGAATGAAAACTGGTCAGCATAAAAAATTGAAAAATTCTGTCAATTTTATTTTCAAAGATTACATGTTTAATAATATAATTTCTTTTTTCCCTACTTCCTTATTTGATTTATTTAAATTGATCTACCACTGAAAGAGAGGCAAAATATAAATTCCGAGCTCCAATTAAAAGATAGCCATGATAGCGACGTGTATCCTTTTTACCAAAGTCAACAAGTGAATCGAGATGCAAAGAAACATCTTCACGATCTTCCTCTTCTACGATGATCCTCACCGTAGGCCAGAACAACGTGAAATCCACGGCACTCCAGTAGACGTTACTCTACTTGCAGTATTTCACTTTCACTAACCCCGGCCTCCCACGAGCTGCTCATCTTCGCGAGATCCTCCGTTCGGAATCCCCCTCTAGAAGAGGCCCCCTTCGGCCCCGCAGCAGGTCACTTGCGTCGTGAGGTCGTTTTATAGTGTACCGCTTATGGATAGTAATGAGAGAGCTGGATCTATCCCCGCTATTTCAGACCTGCCGATATTTACTTTAGACAATCAGGAAATTCGAAGAGGTCCAGATCACATCCGGTATTCTTACTTCAGGCATGGTTCCTTATTGGAAATGTTGTATATAATTTTTTTTGCAATTTTAATTCTATATAAAATATGCATATTATATTTCAATAAAATATTTAATAAATATCTAGATAGGTGTCGTATGAATTTTTTATATATATATAGAATTTTAAAATATCCATAAGAATATTTATTGATTACAATTTATAACGACTACAAGAAAGATGTTGCACCTTAAATTTCGATTCTTCCAAATCTTCCACCGCAATACGGTAACGAGAAATGATACGATACACTTCTCCGAAAATTCGCTAGGCGAAAGGTCAAAGAGTACGAATGTAGCATCTCTCCTATGATTTCCAGAATAGACGCCCAGCGCGAAAGGATCAATCCCATCGCTGTTCGCGGTTTATTCGCGTGCTTCCCCACCTAGCATCCCGAGGAACAGAAGGAAAAAAAGGGGGCTCGATCTGGAGGAGGTCGAAGGATGAGCGCCGGAGAGCATCCCTGGTGGGGGCGTATCAGCACTTGGGGTGCTATCCAAGGATATATATGCCGACGAAGTAACTTCCACCATCAGTCACTGTCTCGACTTACCTCAGCACTGCGGTGTGTTTTGCACGTACGGATCGGTTGGGTGAGTCTCTGCACACGACACCATTTCATCCCCCTAAGACATGACGATCGCCTTTTTGTTTCCGCGAGTTCTTGCGCGTCTGTCGCACAAATTGGATCCTTCCTCGGATCCAAGTGCTCGCTCCCGAGTTCGGTATCGCACCTTATTTTTCCTATCTCATGCACTTGTGAGCGTATCTCAAACGTGGCACCGATAACACGCACGAATGACCCGACGAAGGTTCCGAACCTCCGATGCACGAGAGGAATCGAACAAGGAACGATCGCAATGTGTTAAAGTAATACGGTCAGTGATTTCCATTCGAGCGTATCTTTTAAAGTTCCATCCTCTCCGTATCTTCTATCCCAAGCAAACATATTTAATACATCAACCCCCGAAGACCGTGTATACGAAGCACGGAATACAGAAACAGGCGACGTGAGTTACAATAACGAAGAGAGCACGTAAATACTTAACCGAAAATCGATATTTGAAATATAAATTCGAAACACGAATAATATGAATAATCAAGATTTTTGCCTTCAGCGTTGTTGTGATAATATTATGTTATTAAATTTGCATTAGTATGTCGAACTCAAAATTTCTCTCTTTCTCTTCCTATACAAACATGCATTATTTCTACAACATTTCCATTTCTTCGCGTATAGAAAAGTACATTCATAAACTTTGTATTTTTTCCATTTTGATGCTTGTTCAATTTTTATATAAAAAATTTAAGCAACTTAATAAATAATACGAGAGAATTAAGATTTAATTTTATTATTTTTTATACTATTTGTTTTATATATATAGTAAAATTTTGAAAACCCATTATAAATGTACAATATTTTTGACAGGAATGATATACATATAATGTATATAAAATAAATTATATTTTTGTATAAAAATGTATATCTTAGATAAAAATTACTTGTGACACATACGCATATATATGTGTGCAGGATATAAAATTAAAAATGTAAAAATTGCTACAAATGTCCAAATACATATGTTTATTTTTTCTAACAATTTTGTTCATGTAGTTAAATATAGGACAAATGAATCAATAATTACAATTGTTTTTCAGATTCGCCCACTTGAGGGTGCTTGCGCCAGCAAACATGCGGCTACGCTTGTTTTGTATCGGTAAGAACAAATTGATATTGATTGGGGGATATTGAATTCACTTAATCACGTCACATCTTCATCCTGTATAATTACATTTCATATAATTATCTAATGTAATAACCGAGTTGTTACGTTAACATGTGACCGAATAAGCACATGAGAAAAACTAACAAAAAACCAACGCAAGAAGTCACGCGGCAATATCCGTCGGTTTTTCTCTGGAGAAAACAGAAAGATTAGCAGAGATTGCAGAGTCGAGAATAGAGAAAAGAAAGTTCGCAATTTGTGACGTGTCCCAACGTCAAGTATAACCTTCGTCTCGATAATCGAAGAAGATGAAAAGTTTCCAAGCAATTGTTAAGCAATCCTATACTAACTTTACCTTCCGTTCATCGAATTATCGTGCCGTATAAGCTCTCATATACACCATTACTCGTCACGCAATCAGTGTGGCATTCTTTGACAATGCTTGTGTCTTGTCAGCGCGAATCATTAAAGAAAAATGTAGAAAAGGAGGGAAAAATGTGCATGTATGAACGATTACGTAGTCGCGAACATGACATATGAAAAAATTTTCAACTAAATACATGTTACTTTATATACTCTATTAGTAAATGGAGAACAGAGACTATATTCTTCTTCTTGCAAAAAAATAGTAATTTTGTATAAGTTAAGATATTATTAAATCTTACACACATGATTTTTTAAATCTTTTATACAAATAAAGAAATAATAGATGGATAGTTAATATTGTTACAATTATAACTCATAATTAAATAATAACAAAATTATGCAAAAGAAATTTAATCAACTTAAATTACAAGCCTTTTTATTAAAATTGTATAGTTTCTTGAAACGATTACTTTGATTAATATTTATTAGAATGGAAACGTGATTCTCATAATTCATAACGCTTTTAACGTCTCGGTTTTGATCTCGGTGTTACGGTCCAGACGAGTTTTAAATTTCGATAGTGTCTTCGCGCAAGGTCTACAACATTTTTTCGTAACATCCTCTAATTAAAACGAATTAGAGATAAGCCAGTGCGCCGCTGACTAGCATTGTTCCAGCGCACTTTTACGTATTACGGGGTCACCCTTTACGGTTACGATCATCCTCACTTAAAATAAAGGTCAAGTGTATGCAGCGTACCGTGTTAACGCAATTGCTATCGCCTTCCCTTTTCTTACGAATCTTAAAAATGGACAACGCTAAAGTTGTATGAGGAAGACAAACATTGAAAAAATAAAAAAAAAAAAATTTTACACTATAAGACAAACTTCTCTAATTTTTTCAAGTTAAATAATAAATATTGCAGTTGAGAAATTTTTGATATTATATATATATATATATATAGACTACACTAATTTATCAAATTATCTTCTGACATCTTCTAAGAAAAAGATAATTAAAGTAGAGATTTTAGCTGCTGCATCTAACACAATAAATGTAGTATTTTTCTTATAAAAGTGTTAGATAAGAAAAATTCGTGGTGCGACGAAATAGACAAGAAAGGGTTAAGCTATTTCCGCCGCAAAGCTCCCTTCGGGCAGGTTACGTCAATACTCTGACGCGATCGTGCAACGCTAGTGTAACCACGTAACGGTCAAAGATCCTCTCGAACGATGCATCGAGTACCGTGCTCGGATTATCTTCTTAGATCACGCGAGGATCGGGCTGCATCTTGATCTCCGCCCCATTGTTTCGAGGTAACCAAAACCGAGGCTATCAACCGGCAACAGGAAGATGTACGAATAATGGTACGGCAATATTGTTGCTTGAAATAGCCTTTTGCTCAAATTATGCGTAGTATGAAAATTAATGAAGATAGAGAGAGAAGAAACTCCATTAAATTATTTATAAATATAGAAATATAAAAATGAAAGAAGATTTTTAAATTTTCACGTACAATTATGAAATATCTCTTCTTTTTATAATCGTGTTTGATCCATTATGTACTTAATTCAACAAACTTGAAAATTAATGAAAAGAAATTGTTACAAAGCGAAGTTTGCTTCATTTATGCTTCCATACGTAATTGATTCCCGAAAGAAATTTTATTAGCAATTTTGTAGAGATTAAAATAAAAATTACGAACAGATTTGCGACTTTAAATATGACAAATGGTGGTCATAAATTATCTTTTATTGCTATATAATTACTTTTGTCGCCATAATTTATTTTACACTAACTGTCGCATTATATACTTCGTTATTCGAATAATTAATCAAAAATAATTTTATTAATTTGCAGCTAATCCATTCAATTTAATATATTTGAATTCATAGATTACTGAGTGCGGAAGCAAAACATTCAGCGCACGATACGAAATGATTTTCTAAATTACTCATGATCTGCTACGACAGTGATATTATTTGAGCCATAGAGGTCATGTCAATCGTATTTACTAAGTTACATACGTCTACGTTGAAGTAAAGTCACCATTAAATCTTAATTTATCAACGTCAAGTTGTGCGGCTCCGGGAGTAGATATCAAAATCGTTTAATAATTACAGTTATTAATCATGAACGATATTCTTCGCGATAACAGGAAAAATTAATCAAGATGTTTGTAATTCACTTTGCTATTTTTCTTACTTATTTTACATCATTTATTAAAGTTATTTTCGATAATTTTATATTTTTGATGTTATTACATGTTGTAAGAGATTAAACGATACATTAATAAAGCGTGTCTATTATTTTATAATTCAGAATCAAGATTTATTTGGAAAACAAAAATACCCAAAATGTAGGTAGGAATAAAAAATCTCTTTTCTTTTTATCGTGTTTTTAACATAATCGACTTGGTTATTTTTTTTTATCGAGGATATCATTCTTCTAAACTTTCATAGAGCTCGAGATTGTAATCTGGATCTCCTCGCATGCCTAAGAACCAGACTTTTGTATCTGCTTAACAAGTAGCTTGCGTGATCCGCGGACCAGCATGACGGTGTCATTGCGAAAACAGGAGTCTACAATTCTCGTGGAACACCATACATGCACTTCTGAAAGCCTCCATTCGTGCTGGCTCGTTTCTCTCTCTTTCTCTCTATTTCTATCCGTTTCTTTCTTATACGCGCGATTCTTTCCTTTGCACTTGTCTCTCTTCCTTTACGCTTTTTGATGCGATTTACGTACCGCCAAGCGTGCGAAGAACTCAGCTTCTTTGCGCCTACGCTCTAAGCGCGCTCGACAATGCTCCTTAATTAATTAGACGGGAAGTTATGTCAGAGATTTTTCAAGACACATTTCTCTTCTGTGGGACTTGCACGCAACCTCTCGTCATTGCGACGAATTGCGACGGTTACTGGCGGTGGCGTCGACAGCATAAAAGCCTTTAGCGCTTGAGATAATTGATGTGATAATAAAAATTCTTCCCGTGATGGATTTGTAATGAGCTGTCGTAATATATAACTGTGCCAAATAGGGAACATGCAATTCGTCAAGGTACATGCCCGAAAATAATGCCGTCTTGTTTGTATCTGTTTCAGCCTTGCTGGCTGTCGCTCGTTCAGCTCTGGTAAGTTACTTCCGTTCTTAAACAGATATTATGTCATTAATAAAACCGTGGAGTAAAAATATTTTTTAGATAACAAATATCATAATTTTTCGCAATAAATTTATTTCATCTGTGTAAGTTCAAACTGTTCTTGTATCGTAAAAGTGTATTAAAATTCGTATAAATTTTATACGAGTCACTTAAATTTTTCTCGATTAATATATATCTTCTTTCCCACGTTGCGAAATAATTTTCGATTGCGCAAATTTAAGTATTCTCATATTAATCGATCGTGACTGTATTGCTGTAACATCATAACGATCACAATAATCGAGAATACGACGCTCCTTTGAACGCTCTTTTTTCCGCTCACGATTCTAGCGTGATATCATTTATATACAATTTATAAATCTGATATATATTAATCGTTCAAGGGTATCGTGATTTCAGCAACAGGTAAAACGTTATCTGCTTAAAATATGATGTGTACAAAACGAGAACAATATACTGAGTTAATAAAAAATCCATTAATATTAATTATATTGTAATTAAAATATCATTTAACTTCAATATGTGCAATTATGTTATGCAATTTTAAAATGAATTTTTTTAACAATACAATTAACTTTTTATTAAAATAAAATTCATTTAAATGTATTAATAAAGATGTGATTCTCTTCTCTATTTGTAGTTCCTTTTAAACCTAATTATAATTTAATTGATTAATTAGGTATTATAATTTTTTCATTTTACAGAAAATTATATAATTATTTCTTATAATATATATTTTGTTATTTGTGTTTAATAATAGGCTGACGAGGGATATAATTATCCCAGACCTACAAGTCCGCTTATACCAGGTGGGCCAGGAGGAGGTCCTGGCGCAAAACCAGGAGGAGAATTTCCAGGTACATCCGGCGGATATCCATCTGGCCCAAGCGGACCCAGAGAACCAGGAAGAACAAATGGTTATCCATCTGGTCCATCAGGACCGTCAGGATTTCCAGGTGGACGTCCAAGCGGTACACCAGGTGGACAACAGCCTGGATTCCCATCCGGCCAAGGGCCTTCCGCGGGATATCCTCGGGAACGTCCCTCTGTTCCATTTCCAAGTGGTGAGCCAACAGGCAGACCTGGAACAGGTCCAGGTGGGTATCCATCTGGCGGGCCAAGTGCACCAACCGGACCGGGTGCACGACCAGGATTTCCAACAGGACCAAGTACTGGATATCCTGGTGGCAGGCCTAATGGGCAAGCACCAGGCGATTTTTCAGGTGGACAAAGGCCTTCCGGATATCCAAGTGGACAACCAGAAGGTCCTGGATATCCTAGTGCACGGCCAGGTGGACAAGGACCAAGTGGAGGCTATCCAGGTGGAAGGCCTAGTGGTCCGGGAAGTGGATATCCTAGTGGAGGACCAAGCACTGGCTATCCAGGAGGTGCTCAGAGACCTGGTGGTGGCCCAGGTCCTCAAAGACCAAGCGGATATCCAGGACCGGGTGGTCCTCAAGGACCTGGAGGTCAGCAAGGTCCAGGCGAAACATCTACCGGAGGTTATCCTAGTGGTAGACCAGAAGGACAGAGACCAGAAGGTTATCCAAGTGGACCAAGCTCGCAAAGACCGGGAAGCTACCCAAGTGGCCCAAGTCCGCAAGGCCCGGGCGGCTATCCTGCCCCAGGCCCACAAGAAGCAGAAGGGTATCCAAGAGGCCCATCACAAGGACCAGAAGGATTTCCAGGTCGACCAAGTTCACAAAGACCAGGAGAATTTCCGGGTGGACCAAGTGCACAACAACCAGGAAGATTTCCAGCTGGACCAGGTCCACAAGAACCAGGAAGGTTTCCAGCTGGACCAGGTCCACAAGAACCAGGAAGATTTCCAGCTGGACCAGGTCCGCAAGGACCAGAAGGTTTTCCAGGTAGACCAAGTCCGCAAGGGCCAGAAGGATTTCCGGGTGGACCAAGTGCTGGCCAACCAGCAGGACCTGGACAGCACAGAGGACCTGGGGAATATTCTCATGGTGACGAGGGAACGTACGATGAAGGTGATTACTCAGCTATTCCCGGCGAGCCTGGTCGCGATTATCCTATATTAAGTGAAATTCCGGAGACTGGTTTTCGTTGCGATGCGCAACAATTTCCTGGTTATTACGCTGATGTGGAAGCCCAGTGCCAAGTTTTTCATGTATGTGCCAATAATAGAACCTTCGACTTTCTTTGTCCAAATGGAACGATTTTCAATCAGCAATTCTTCGTCTGTGTATGGTGGAATCAATTTGACTGCAGCTCCGCACCAAGTCTTTACTATTTGAATGAAAACCTTTATGACTATACTATTATGGGAGCACCTGCTCAAAGACCCGGCACTGAAAGACCTTCAGGACCTTCTGGACCTACTACATACCCGGGAGGTCCTGGTCGTCCAAGTGGTCCAAGTGCATCTGTTCCAAGTGGTCCAGGAGGTCCAGGTGGTCCAGGAGGTCCAGGTGGTCCAGGTTATCCAGGAGGTCCAGGTGGTCCAGGTTATCCAGGAGGTCCGCAACGTCCTGGTGGTCCAGGTTATCCAGGAGAACCTCAAGGTCCATCGAGACCGGGCGAATATCCAGGAGAACCTCAAGGCCCATCAGGACCAAGTACATATCCAGGGGGACCTCAAGGCCCATCAGGACCAAGTACATATCCAGGAGGACCTTCGGGTCCTTCGGGACCAGGTAGATACCCAGGCGGACCTTCAGGCCCGTCAGGACCAACTGGACCAGGCGGTTATCCAAGCGGTCCTCAAGGACCAACGGGTCCGGGAACTACAAACGGTTTTCCGGGACGACCGGGAGGTCCAGGACCACAAGGTCCATCTGGTCGACCAGGACCTGCATATTTAGGTCCGTCAACTGGACCATCAGGACCTCAAGGACCTCAAGGACCAAGCGGAAGACCTCAGGGACCTTCTGGTCCTTCTGGACCTTCAACAAGACCGCAAGAACCTAGCCGTCCCGGCGGTTATCCAGGACCAGGCGGACCATCTCCAGGATATCCCAGTGGCCAGCCTCAAGGACCTACTGGATCGCAGGGCTACCCAGGTCCGGGTACACCGGGTGGTCGTCCACAAGGACCTAGTGGACCAGGCGGATATCCCAGCGGTAGACCAAGCGGCCCGTCATTCCCAAGTGGACCAAGTGGACCAAGCGGACCTACTGAACCGGGTATCGGGACGAGTTCACCGTTCCCTCCGAAGCCAGATCGTGAGTACTTGCCACCGCGGATCGGATAATTGTGAAGCTAAACTTCCAGCAAAAATCTAACGATAATTCTCATTGTTGTTAATGCTGGATGAAATGTGTAAATATGGGCATACAATTTTAGGTATCGATTATTCGTATTGCATTCACTTTAACATATAAAGAAATTTTTCATACGCGTTTATCCTAAGGTTTCCATATAATCAATTAAAAATTTACATTGTTGCCCAATTAATTTTATTAGTAAAATATATTTATTAAAATATATACATGTATATGTAGTATATATTTTGTATATAATATATTTTTTATATTTTACTAATAATCACATTTTAAATATATATTTATATAATTATAATATACAGAAAACCACCACTATGTAAAGAAGCTTATAAAATCCTATCTATAATATTTTGAAATATTTATAACTATACCATATTTTTCTCTAATATATTATCTTCAATTTTTTATTTATTTCTTATGAAAAATAAATAACAATGTATCCCGATTCGTGCAAAAATGGTCTGAATTTTGCATATATTACATTACACATAAAGAGAAGTACTTAATGGAAACCTTATGATGAAATTATGAATAATATTAAGATATATACGCTGAATGTGTGTGTGTATTTGTCGTTGTCTAATGAAATCTTAATTAACCGTGACTAGAAGTATTAAATATTTTTGATTTTTTTCGATTTACTGTTTTATAAATCTTTTTATACCTATATTACACAAAGTAAACATTAATATAATCTAAAAACATTAATAAGCTATAATCGAATTTTATAATTTTATATATTGAAGCAAAAAGATTGTCATCGATTTACACTATTATTAATAGTAATATTATTACTAATATTAATAGTAATAGTAATGTTACTCTATTGTAATAGTAATATAGTATTATTAATTACCAATATAATTTTATATTAGTATTATCATTATTATATTACTCTGCAATAGACTTTATCGACCAATTTATATAAAAACTGAAAAAAAACATTAACGTGAATACATGCAGCTTTATTGTAAGTATTATAAAACGCTACATATTTATTTATTCAGCTTTAATATAAAATATGAATATTACAACTTACGATCAAAAGAACTGAATCGGGCGTCATGCGGATATCATCGATATTTTTGTACCATTCGAAAAATAAGAATTTATTAAATGTAATCAAACGTGAAATCAAATGTATAGTTTCATACTTTAAGGCAATTATGCCTTACGCGAAGTGTCATAATAACGCAATTTTAACACAGTTAGACATATATTTATACATATCTACAAACACAAAATTGTTGATTATAAAACATATAAATTATATATGTAAGGATTTATTCTATTAATATAATTTGAGCTACCATATAATTATATTTATAGAATTATAAGCACCACACACAGACATATCTTAGCGAATAATTTATAAGACTTATAATATATTTACTAAATACAAGTGTGTATTTTTTATAAGAATGTCATATAAGATACTTCAAGATTGAACATTTTAAAGCAGAAGCGTTTTACAAATATTATAAGTAAATTATGGCAGAATTTGATTTCTTGTCTTGTTTATGTATTATTATAAAAAAAAGCGCCATAATTATTTTCCAATAATTGTCTGATAAAATAGTGTGTGTTAAAACTATACATCATTAATTAATCACTCCAAGAATAACGAAGCAACGAGAGCAAGGCCGATTCTTTTTGAGAAAAAAAAAAAACATTATCATTGTCATATATTATAATTAAGCATCGCATGACATAATATATATATATATATATATATATATCTATTTTTATAACAATGGTTTGAGACTCCTACGTGGGATGCCATTATGTATATTTTATGCGCGAAATAAAGGAAACACCTTTGCAAGAATTATGTTGTCTCTATTCAGTATCAGGTCCCGCGCGAATTACTGAAATCCGCGCAAGACGAGTAACTACACACGCGTTACTACATATTGCCTTTCCCTTTCCTCTCATTACTATAATTAGTCATCTAAAATTGTTCGCACGTCGGGGGTAGTTACATAAATTCGTACATACGCGGCCTACGTGCGATCATCGTTTCGCGATTTATATAGTTGCGTGTATTTCGCAACGGCCTCTTCTCTTGTCTTCTTCACGAGAGAAGGGATGGGATTGAGGCCCGAGTCATTCGACGGGCAAATGATTTTGCGGATTCCCATGGCAGTGACGTTACATTAGATAAACGTTGCGAGAACGTACACTCTGCGGTTCGTTCACGCGTCTTAAATTGTCTGACATAGGTAACTGGGTCGTAAGAAATGCCTCATCCTGCTATTCACATTCGCTCTCGTCGGATTGTTTCAACGCGCTACGTGACGCGTCGAGAGAGGGAAAAATGATACTTAATCATCGCGCGAGGGGTGTCAGGTGCGGATGAAAATATGTAGATATATGAAACGCATATATGAAACGTATATTCGTGTAATCGGTACATCTTCCATACTGATTCTCTTGGCGTTATCGCACGAATAATCGGACGTCCGCGCTGTTGTAGTTTGTAATGAAAGGAGTTATACGCAGGACCAATTAAACTTTGGTCTGGAAAACGTGCCTTCGAGCAAGATAACAAAGGTCAATGGCTAATTAACAAGGCGCGCAAATTAGAAACGTAATTCGTGTGCATTGCTACATCGCAAACGTATACTGCTTATTGCCGCAAATCTATGTTACTAAATGATTTGATAACGATAAGTGGAAATGATAAAATCTCGAATCGTAACCGCAAAATGTAAGCCGCAGATATTAGCATTAAATGACTAATTTAACACTAATTAAATGATGCATTGTACGAACTGTTTTATTATTATAAATATTGCAATAAATTCGTTTTTTTTTTTACAGAGGTAAAAGGCTATCAAATTCGCTTATAATATTAATTTCAACAAGCGTTTCTTTTCACTGCAATTATTAATATTACAAATATGTAATGTTACATAATTATTAAAATTAAATGAAGCGCATATTCCTTCTCGTCAAATATTTTATAGAAAATTAAAAATTTATTAAAAAAACCTTCAACCATATTTCCTGAAAATATGTGCAGCTTTTTCCTGTTACATTAAGAGCTAATCAAATTATTACAAGATAAAAGCGGATTGAAAATATGTAATGTACTTAATACATTATGAATCACTTCGCACGAATACATAATGAATGAATCCAGTGCGAAACGCGGATTTTGTTTCATCAGCCAGCTGACGACGAAGGTCCCGCCGGATATACATACATAAATCGTGTCCGCGGACGGTCTCGCGCTTATTTGGTGCAAACCGCAACAAGGCGGACGGTCGTGCGAAAAAATGTGGAAATTAATGAGAAGGCGCCGCGCGCGCATAATCCGCTTGGAAATTACCGGTCGGTGACGCAAGGCAACCTTGAATGGCATGCGAACCATTCTGACTCGGAAAAGTGGAGCATTCGGAACGACCGCAGTGACGGATCACCTGTTAACACATCTGCCTTACAGCTCTCGACCTTTTGCAGTTGGTGCCGATTCTACCACATCAGGCACGTAACGTTGACTATTTTCGTTGTAGGAAAGATAGACAGATATATACTGCCTCTATTATCGTTCGTATTTCTCTCTTAAGATCATCATTACCGTATGTGTACTTAATTAGTACACGTAATTAAGCTCACTTATGCATAATACGAATAATTAACGAATCAGTTAAGCGTTCTATACAACGATCGGAAGAATGAAGATTTTAGATGATAATGTAATTTACATGATACTTTTACGAAATAACACGATTTGTTGCTCTGTAAAAATATTTTCTAACATATTCATGTAGAATAAAATATGTAAAAAAAAATAAACAAAATACATAAAATATTTTTATGGAAGTAGAGTTTCGCAAACTATGGAATAATCTAAACGGAAATCTCACTTTTACCTTTACAGTGTGATATAAACGGGTGTAAAAATTATATAAAATAAGAAAATAAATGTTCCTTTCAGTCAGCCGTGAAGAGAATTTAAGAGAGGATTATCATTGCGCGCGAGTGATTTACGAGCTTAAAATGAAAATTATTAGCGTGTAATTTTGCAGTGCGACGCACGTTAATGGTAAATTGTATTTTTAGGAATTAATATTCACCTGTTGCATAATAATCGCGTGCACACTCAAAACGTAATCTTTTTTGCAATTTATCTACCACCTCGAGACATCGCGTTAGTATACCTTATACAGGGTATCGCTCGATGGGGCACGCCGATGCGGCGATGCAGCGATGACGAAATTTGTCAGCTCTTCAACTACCGAGATGCATTATTGCATCTTCGTGATACGATACGGACGATGAAACTCGCTGTCACGAGAAATAGGACGAAAAACGGCAGCAGATGGCGCGGCCAATATCGCAAGGCGATTTGTGCAATTTCTGTAGATTGTAAATTGCACAAATGATCATGCATTACGGGAGATGTTCGGTCAAAGCAATGCATTTTGCATTTTGTAAATTTTTCAAATCACAGACTAAACTTTCGCCTTATGGCGTCGCTATAGAATCGACACACTCTTGTGAGTTTTCGAATTTACATGATAAACAAAATTGCATGCTGCAAAATATGTACCTCTCGTCTTTCTACAAACTGTCCGATGATCTCACATAATGATATATTTGCGTCTCTTCAATATGAATTCTTTAACGAACTTGCAAACTGTTCCTTCAAAATATGGTACTTTTTAATGAAAAAGTTTCTTTTTTATTTGTATTAGAAGAAAAATTGGTGAAAATAAAAATAGTATAAAATACCTAGGGAGATAATGAAAAAGTGGAACATATGTAAATGTGGAACAATTGTAATATTGCATTCCAACTTGACGGCGATGGGTGGTAATTATATGATGAAATCACAACCGGGAAAGGTTAAACGAGCTTCGATCAATGCGTGCAAACGTCAAACGTCGCGCAACCGGTTCGCGGGATCAATAACCGTCATTGTCAGGGTCGATTGCGACATAATGGTAGATACGCAATAGACGCATTGTCGAAAG